TTTGTACAGATTTTGGTTTCAGTTAATATGAAGCAGTAAATTATGGTGTACAGAATGAGGGACTAGACTATATAGGTTTAAATTCGGTCTTCTTTCCTGTGTTCTTTTCCAGCAAGCTAGTAAAAAGGTCTCTGTGCCTCAAGTATTATTATTTGTAAATGGGAGTTATAGTCATTCCTTTCTCACTTGTGTATTTTGTAGGTTAAACAAATATACATAAAGGTTATCAAACAGTATTTGCTATATTACAATGTAATTGTTAATGATCTTATTTTGCAACATCAGTTTATACATTTAAATGAGTATTCTTATACTATAGTTTTCTGCAATTAAATATCAGAAAAGAACTTCAGTAAAACAATTTTCAAGTGTTTAGAAATAAAAAAGTACTAATAAGTAGCTTGATAGTCAGTATTATGACTTTCTCCTTTTTGCCTATTTGTCCTTAAACACATACTTTAAATAGATGAGTGATGAGCCCTTTCCTCAGAACTCCTCAAATATGAGACCATATTTTATTATGCATCTTTAAATTTTTTTATTATGCTACATAAAAAAATGAGTAAATGCAGGCATGATTTTCAGGACATATCCTTTTCTCTTGTGTGTAGATTTTAGTAGTTAATCACGTAGAACTCTGTTAGAGTCCTTATAAATGTGAGTTGAGGTTAGAATATTATATATAATATACCCTTTTTTGAAGCATGTATGAACATTTTGTGCCTTTGGCTTGCTATAAAATAATGCCACTGTTATAAATGAGGTGTATAGATAACTTCTTGAATAATTATACTGGGTCTTTCTTCATATTAATATAATCTAGTATTCTCAGTAAGAATAGTGATATGATAATTTCTGTCATTTGCCTAATTTTGTTTTTATTGTGGATTTTATTTATTCACTTTTAAAATTTATGTATTTATGCGTACAGAACTGGGGTATAAGCCAGAGGTATGGCCTGAGGTGAGAGGATTCACCAGAGACAGAGTGGGGAGCAGAACAGGCAGATATACTTAGATTATAGTACCTTTCTGTTGAGGGGAGCACTGGGTGGGTCAGGAAAGGTCTACCATGCCATATGGGTCACATTCCTGGCTGGGGATCGAACTCCTGCTGCAAAAACTGCTGTAGCTTTATAATGCTATTCTTTAACTCATTGTGCCACCAGGGAGGGCCCTTTATTTGTGGATTTTTCAAAAATGAGTAAAGGAATAGAATACTGTAGTTAGTTAAGGTGGATGTAGTTTCCTTTGTTCCCTACTGAGAATTACTTCTCTCCCCTCCCTCTTCCCTACCCCCAAAACAGTAGCTACCATGGGTTTGATTTGTAGCCTTCCAGTCATATTTTCTTTCTTTTATTACTGGTTACGTTATGCATATGTAAAAGCACATTAATTAACTGTTTTAGCAGTGCCTATAGGTGACATTCTGTTCATGTCATTTTGCTACCTTTTATTTTATATATATAATACTCTTTTCAATCCTGAAATAGACTCATACTGTACAGTCAACCAATATAAGAAAAAGATAATATTCCAGAGCAGCATTTCCAGAGAAAAGATGGTATTTTCAACAAATGGTGCTGGGTCAGTTGGATATCATTTTGAGAGAAAATATACCTTTACGTCAACCTCATATCATATAACAAGTTCAGTTCCAAGTATATTTCAGGTCTAAATGTGGTAAAATAAAGCTTAAAGGAAAACCTTTTCTTGGTCTTTGAGGACACAAGGAGTATAAACCATGAAAGGAAAACATGTCAAGATGAATCTTATTTATCAAAAGATACCACTGAAAATAAAACCAGTATTGAAGTAGGAGAAGATATTTGTAATAATTATATTCCCAAAAGGAGTCATTTAGGAGTTTATGAATAGTCTGAAATTTTTGAAAGACAGGTAACTTAATTTTTTAGAATGTAGGAACTCTCCAAAAGAGCATAACAAAAAGGTCAAGAAATATATAAAAAGGTGATCAACTCCCTTACCATCAGTGAAATTAGAACTACCCCATGCACATATGTGTGCGCGCACACACACACACACACACACACACACACACACTAGAATGACTAGAAAGACAGTCAATATTGAGGGTAACGGAGTTATGGTATAACTGTTATTCTTTTTTTTTTTTAAGATTTATTTATTTGTGCATACAGAACTGGGGTACAGGTGAGAGATTCAGGGGCGGTGAGAGGCTTCACCAGAGACAGAGCGGGGAGCAGAACAGGCAGGTCAACGAAGTACACTGTTGAGGGGAGGGGAGCAGCGGGCTGGTCAGGAGAGGTCTGCAGTGCCGTGTGGTCACCTGCAAAGCAGGCGGAAATCGAACTCATGCCGAAGTGGCTTTTTAGCTTCTTAGTGCTGTGCTTTAACCCGCTGTGCCACCAGGGAGGGCCACAACTGTTATTCTTATATACACTATTGGTTGGAGTATAAGACTAGTCTAACCACTTAGGAAAACTGGCTATGTCTGATATAAGTAAATATATTAATACTTTGTGAGTATGCTCTTCTGTTGTAGGTATATACCCAGAAAAAATGCATACATAGTATAATTTCACTTGTGCCACTTAGAGTATTTCCAAACTAGAAAATACCCAAATACATGCTATCATCAACAACAAAAATGAATAAACAATTACATATTTGTGCAAATGCAAAAAAAATCACTATGTAGCAATGAAAATCAGTAATTCATACTTAATGCAACCCATTACATATTGAATGAAAAACCTGTCAGAGACCATACTTGAGTTTATTATTATAAAGTTCAAAATCAGGCAAAACTTATCAATTGGAGGAGTTATAAATTAGCAAGATTCTGTTTCTTCATATAAGTGATAGCCATACAAGGATATTCAACTTATGGAAAATTCATCAAGCTTGTGTGCTTCATCAATTCATGTGTGCTTGCATGAATGATCTCATGTTATATTCTCAAAAAATTCTTGAGATCTGTTCTTGTTAGATTTGAAAGATCTAGGTTATTTGTTTCAACTTTGGTTTTAGAACTCAGATCTTTCTTTATTGATTCATTATTGTTGTATACAGATTGTTTTCAAATGTCTTCTGTTTTTACTAATACTTAAGATGTAGTGTTCTTTTACATGACTTCCGGTGAAAATACATGTGCATTTCTTCAGATGTGTAACTAAAGGTAACATTGCAGTTGCTTATCTTTGACTGGTACTATACAGGAGTATTGAAGAGTTCCCATTACTGTATATACTTGTCATCAATTGGTGTTGTCAAGCTAAAATTTTGCCAGTATGGTGGAGGATAAAATGGTATTTCAGTTGAGTTTCTTTATGTATGGGTCCGACTTCCAGATCATAAAGATTTCCTCTCGCTCCCCCCCCTCCCCATATTTTCAATTTTGAGAATTATCAACTCATATTTATTGTACATTTTTCTAATTTGTACATTTTTCTTGATTATATGCAGTTGGTCTTGATTTTCAATGTCAGTGTATTCAGAAAGATTTCTTTTAGTGATTTGAAGACATGATTGTTTTGGAAGAGAGATGACAGTTTAGCTTAGCTTCACTTAGAAACTCTTTAGAAAGTATTTTTTAAAATGGTTTGATGTAAGTTAGTGAAAAAACTTGTTATAAATCATGTAGAATAATTTCAGTGGCTAATTTATCAAGTTCAGAAATCTTGAGATTAAAAATAGAAAAGTAATACAGTTGTTTCGCTTGTGATAAAATTAGCATACACTGTTATTCTCAATAAATTGGAAAATGACTATTATAAAGCCCTAGGTTTTAAAGAAATAATTATACATAGCTAATATGTGTATATCCAGTGTTTATATAGATAAGAAGTCCCTGAGTATGTTGGCCCTGGGATGTGTTTTATTTTTACAAGTTTTATGCAATAAGAGTTTTTGTTTTGCTAAAGCAAAATTATCACACTTAAAATGTCAATAAATCCTGTAACATTTCAGATTTTCCTGCTTGTCTCAAAAATATTTACTTTTGATTGTTTTGTCTCTTTTTCTATGACAATTTCAGCAAACTTCCCCACTCTTTACTCTTATTTTTCATGCCACTGATTTATTGGAAAAGTCATTTGACCTATAGCTTATCCCACATTCTGGATTTGACTGTTTGTTCCCTTGTGGTGGTGTTAAAAGCTTGATCTTCAATCCCCAGTAATTCCTGTAAACTAAAGAAGACTTGATTAGATTCAGTTTCAGCCTTTACCTTTTATTTCCATGTTATGAAATTCCTGTTGCATCTCCTCATGAGATACATATTGTCAAGTTTTCCCAATCAGTGAAATGTTTCAAGAGATTGATCCGTGGGTTCTGTTGGTACCCTATTAGTTATTCTGTTTGCATAGAGGTCCAGTTAGGGTCACTTCAAAACGTAGCTTTTGATTTAGCAGGTCTAGTGGAAGTAGGGAGATACATTATTATTAAAAAGACATGCAAACATTCCCAACTCACTACATTTACTCAAATGCATTAAGAATCATTAACCTTTATTACTTTAATATGCAAATAAGAATGATAAAATTTAGCTTTGAGAGTGTATGTTTTATGTAAAATAAAGCAAATTTAATATTTTTATGAGCTGTGGAGATGTTCGAGGCCGCTGTGATGTATAACAAGAAAAATTCACTCAGACACAGGCAGCCAAATCACTTTTTTTTCTGAGACCCCTTTTTTAAAAAAAAAAATCAGGATAGGAGTTATAAGATATTTACTATAGGGTTATTTTAATGATTAAATGAAATGGTTTGGAACCAGTGGTTGAATCAAAATCTGAAAAAATTACAGTAACAGACTTTTTTTTCAATTGATACTTTCACAGTAAAATTTAAGAAAGTAACTAACAATATTTCACTTGGGATTTTAGCTATATCTGTATATCCATATAGACTTTTGCTCTTGGGCTTATTTCCTTGAATTTAATATTTAATTTATGTAGCCTTTTGGAATAAAATAGTATGTGGAAATCTTACTTTTTTTTCCCCCTCCTACTTTCAGCTCCATTTACCTCTTAATTCTCCTTTGCCTGGAAGTGAATTGACCAAGGAACCTTTTCGTTGGGATCAGAGACTCTTTGCATTAGTGTTGCGGTTGCCTGGCACCATGTCAGTAGAATCAGAACAGTTGACAGGTGTACCTTTAGATGACTCTGCAATCACACCAATGTGTGAAGTGACAGGCGGTAAGTAGTAGTTTTGCTGGCATTTATTTCAATGACTGAAAGCAGCATTTATCTGTATAAAATGTATATTTCAAAAACTCCATTTTTATTTTTAATAAATGTTAAGCATAATAGTTCTAAAACAACATTGATTAAGGTCAATGATTTGAATAGGATGTGAATACTCTTGGATTTGATAATGAATGGTATTTTTATATTCACATAGACAATAATTTATTTGAGGCTGTTAATCTTATTTTCTTACCAGTTATTTATTTTCTGTGAAATATGTTTCTGTGGGAGGATACACATTTGTATTGAGGAAATTTGGTTTTCAGCATTCAACTGTTAAAATCTTGTTTTTTGTTTTAACTTTAGGGTTTTTATGTAACAGATTGAAGAAGCGTTCTGAGGCTGTAATTGAAACATTCATATATTGGAAATTCTTTATTTAGTTTCAATTTAGAAATATCCTTTTGTTTCTTCTTGGTTTTATTAAAGCCATTACTATTACTGCTAGTAATAAATTGCTGCTATGAGACAGTTTTTTACTTCACTACTTCAGATTTACTATATTTTGTTTGATTTGTGTTTGTATCTACACAATCATAAGGAAACCAGCTTCTTAACTTTGAGTTTAAATATCTCAAAATATAATTAATGATCCTAGAAACTTTGTTTCAATACAAAGTATTATACATTCTAAGGGGTATGTTTTTACATAGACTAAAAGAAATAGAGGTTATATACTTAATTTTGTAAAGATAACAGATAATTTGCCATTTCTCTTTAACTTTCAGAAAAGATTAATGGATTTTTACTGTATGCTGAGTAACTCAGGTTCATTCACTTTTTTCTAAATTTTCATGAAACATTTTTTGTTAGTAATTTTATTTCATACAAAGATTATAAATCATTTACTTAGACTTTTCTAATCAAGTCATTGATGACACAAATAAGTGAAAAAATTGACACCATTACACATTTAGATACCTTTGTTTTTTTAATGACATCTTGGGAATATGCTTAAATTTTGTGAAATACAGTAGCTATCTATAGTTTCCTAAATAATGTTGATCAACATTTTTATGTGTTAGTTTTATGTTTAAATACATAAAATAGAGTATGTCCAAACTAAAGATTCTTAATACCCCATGAGAATTGGAATCGTAGCCTCTTTGTACTTTTCTCATTTGTAAAATGGAGAAAGTAATGCCCAAGATTGCTTCTGTGACAAAATAAAATAGCAGGCAAGTAGAATAGTGCTGGGCTCATAGATACTCAAAAATTGGTAGGTGTTTTTATGATTATAGCCATCATTATCGTGTATAGGTAAGATGTGTGTTACATGATACTTGTTGTTCTTAGGATAGCTGACTCTGAGGACTAAAAATACTAAAACCTTATGTTCACTATTCTGAGTAGCCTTTAACAAATTACATGTTAAGTATAAATTAGTTAGCTTGTGAATACAGTGATGTAGTTGTGAATAACTGGTTGAATTTGTAAAATGGGGCTATTCGATGCAGAGTTTCTTGCAAATTGCACTGTAAGATAATTAAAACTGACTTAGTTTTCAAGTCTTTCAGCATTGGTCTGGATTAGCACATATATAATAGCATTTTATATCAGAGGTTACATATGTAATTACAAGTTTTATAGCAGGCACATTAAAAAAAGGGTAAAATTTATTTTAGTTATCTTTTCCTTTAAATCAATATGTAATATTTCAACCTGAAACTGATATTGAAAATTGAGACATTTCACTTTTTCATAAAATCTGTAAAATCTGTTGTATATTTTATATATACTGTGCATTTCATTTGGGAGTATGCCTTGTCAGTAGCCTATGTCATCAGTGACAACAATATGGGACAGCACAGGCTGATGTATACTATTGATAATTCCTGTTTAAGAGATTTTTTCCTACTGTTTTTTTCTTAGTCACTAGCATTTTTTTTTTTTTAAGATTTGTTTAATTTATGCTTACAGAACTGGGGTACAGGCCAGAGAGGTGGTGGGTGAGAGGATTCAGCAGAGACACAGAGGGAGCATAACAGGCAGATCTACTAAAAATACACTGCTGAGGGGAGTGGCAGGCAGGTCAGGAAAGGTCTGCCACGCCATGTGGGTCAGCTCCCTGGTGGGGGATTGAACTTGTGCTGCAGTGGCTTCCAAGAGTTTCATAATGCTATACTTTAACCAATTGTACCACCAGGGAGAGCCCAGTCACTAGCATTTTTAATGTTTTTCTTTTTAACTAAAAATACTATGTTTTAAGAAGTAAAAAGGGAAAATTTATCTAAATTGATAACTCCCAAATATGTAAGGCAAATAAAATTCAGAAAAACACATGCTGCCATAGTGACGTACAAATATTTAACAATACAATAGCTTCCGGCATGCTACTTAAATAATTTGGGGTTATCTGCTGTGGGCAGTTAGTAACTACAGGTGTTATGTATGTTTATAATATTGGTTTATGTAATATGATTTTTTTAAATAGTGGTTTCTGTAGTCTAAGATTTCTATTTTTCATATACCTAGAATTGGAAGGAAAAGTTTACATACAGAATAGAATTTTTCATTGATTGGAAATGAGTTTCTATTTATTCTCACATAAGATAATAAAATGTCAAATTTTGCTATTAAACATATTAATAAATACTCAAAAGTTTCATTATGGTTCTTTCTTGATAGAGGTAAAAATTTCTACAACTAACTATTTTTTCTTTTTATCTTAGGCCGCTCTTACTCTGTATGTTCTCCAAGAATGCTTAATCAGTGTCTGGAGTCATTGGTGCAGAAAGTGCAAAGTGGGGTGGTAATAAACTTTGAAAAAGCAGGACCAGATCCTTCCCCTGTAGAAGGTATTATTACATTATTCTTACAGACATTCTAAAGTTGCTCTTTTAGTTATTTGATTGAAACATAAAAATTATTATGACCTAACTTTAACAGTGCCAAATTACTAAGATGATGAAGTTAGGGAAAGTTAAATAGGAAAGTCAAGGTAAACTGAGAGTGGTTCTGGGCATCATTTCTTTATTTCAATGATTGTTCATAACCTAAAATTTTATAAGAGCCAAAACCCATGTTAAGCATTTATGGACTAACAACCTCATATTTCCTCTCTCAAGTTATATCTTTTTCTCCCATGTCCCTTATTTCACTTGAGTTTTCAATCAATGTTTTTATGTAATTTCTTGGCTACATTTTTTTTTTAAAGATTTATTTATGATTACAGAATGGGTACAGGCCATAGTTGTGGTGGGTGAGAGAATTCACAAGAGACAGAGTGGGGAGCAGAACAGGCAGATTTACTGACGTATACTGCTGAGGGGAGCAGTGGGTGGGTCAGAAGTCTGCCACGCCATTTGGGTCAGCTCCCTGGCTGGAGATTGAACTCGTGCTGCAGTGGCTTCGGAGAGCTTCATAATGTGGTGCTTTAACCTGTTGTACCACCAGGGAGAGCCACTTTGCTACATTTTTTTTCTCAGCATTGGACTGGTTGCAAAAGTAGAAACCAGCCTTTGTCATTGGAGAATAATTCTTTTCATTCCAGCCAAACCTCATCTGGCTCTATTCTCATATTCTGTGATCATATACTAGCCACAGGGTAAAAGGTGTCATATTAGAACCAGTAGACATTTGGGTTCCTTTGCATTGTATGATGTAGCTTGTATCAAGAGTTGAAAGCTATTAATGATACTTGGCAACAGTAATCCACTGAAGTGGGTAATTGGGAGAAGAAAAAGGGCATTATAGATGTGAAAGAACAAAGTCAGGTGTCCTCAGGGAATTACAGGAAAAGAGCAGAGGGTGGTGAGAGTATATAAACTGTTTCAGGATGTGTGGATTAAAAAAAAAAACAAACAAACATTTAATTCAGTTGTTACAGAGGAAATATAGTTGAAATTGTCTTATTGTTTGACGCAGATTTAGAGATGAAGTAGATGTTTAGCGATTTGAATTGTTATTTTGCTAGAATTATTTTAGATTAAAGTACATTTAATGTTGGTTTATATATTAATTTCTTTTGGCTTTATATTCTAGTTAAAATTTTTAATACTCACTTAGCAATATTAGCAATATTTACTAAGCCAACCACAGTGATGAAGAAGGCAAATGGGTATTTGCCCTTATCATCTTTTGGGGAAAAGATATTATTCATTAAACAAGTGTTTACCATAAAGTATGGTTTACATGCTCTGACTGGACAAACAAAGGATACTGTGGGACGTCCTTTCAAACTATTGAACTCTTAGATGGAATTTGCAGGCTTTATTCTCTTGTGAATTTTAATCTAGTCAAAATGTTAAGCAAGCATGATAGTATTCTTCCTTTTAAGAATATCTGGAATTGAACAAGTGCTAGGTTAATTTTGTTAAATAATAAGATATAATTTTAACTTTTATATATTTTATCCCATTTATGACATATGCTTTCTTTGTCATAATTTCTTTATTATAGATGGGCAGCCAGATATATCAAGGCCTTTTGGATCTCAACCTTGGCATAGCTGTCATAAACTCATATATGTCAGACCAAATCCTAAAACTGGGGTTCCTATAGGTCATTGGCCTGTTCCAGAATCTTTTTGGCCAGATCAGAATTCTCCAACACTAGTAAGTACCACAGGTATTGTGACTTTGTAACACTAACCTTTTAGCTTCTTTTCAGATTAATTTTAAGTACTGCATCAGTTAAAGATGTGGATTAGGTGTTTAAGGTACTGTATCAAATTATTTGCTTTAGTGTACTGTATCATTAATTACGAAATAATAGGGAAAGAGGCATCTGTTTCCTTTAAAATCTAATACTAAGCTTATGCTTATTATTGCCATCTGGGTACAGGATCATAGATACATTAGGATTTGTCGCTGGCATACAATTAAAATTTTCACTGAAAACTCAGAAGATCTGTTAGTTTTCCTGTAATCTTTTAGGATGTAGTCATAGTAATTTATGTACTTTACATGGTTTTAGTTCTGTTCAGTGTTTTCAATATAAAGGTTTAAGGTAGAAATTATTTTCTGGTCTTGTTTACATACATTATTTTTAGAAACAGACTTACTGAATAGTCATCATGAATTACCAGTGTTAACCATGATTCTTAGTAATAGGGTAAATTTAGACAAGCTCATGCTGATTCAGTTTTATTAATACCGTTTTTTGCTTGTTTGGTCATTTTTCTGATTTGAAGCCTCTTGGATATAAGTGTGGCTCCCCCTGCCTTCTTTTGGGGTCCATTTACTTGTAGAATTGTTTGTCAACCCTAAATTTTCAGTTTATGTTTATCTTTAGTAGTTAGTTGTATTTCTTAGAGACTACAGAAGGTTTGATTTTGTTGGATCCAGCCGGCTATTCTGTCTCTTTTTGTTGATGAGGTTAGTGGATTTAGTTTAGGTTGATTATTGATACATGGAAGTCTGTAATTGTCATTTTGTTCATTGTTTTTGTGGTTCTGTTTATTACTTTGTTCTGTTCTTCCTGTTCATTGCTCTGTTTTAGATTATAAGGCTTCTTATGAAGCCTTATTTCTGGAGTGGAAGTTTAGCACTAGTGAATTTCTGAAGATTTTGTTTGTCTTGATAAGGCCCTTATTTTTCCCTCATAAAGGAAGGAGAGCTTTGCAGGGCAAAGTATTCTTGGCTGATGTTTTTGTCTTGGAGTTTATTGAATATGTCATTCCATTCTCTTCTTGCCCAGAGTGTTTCTTCTGAGAAATCTGATGTCACTGTAATCAGTTTTCCTTTGTAAGGTATCTGTTTCCCCTTGTCAACTTCCATTATTTTTTCTTTGTCTTGGACTCTTGGAGCTTTACTATTATGTGTCTTGCTATAGTTTTCTTTCACTATATTAATTCGGTATTATTCTAGTTCCTGTAAGTCTATTTTAATTCACTTCTTGATGTTTGGGACTTTCTCTTTGATTATTTCCTTGAATAGTCACTTACTTCCTTTGTCTCTATTCTCACCTTTGGGACTCCTGTATTTCTTTTCCTCATGGTGTTAGATCTTGGCAGGATTTCTTCATTCTTTTCCCTTTCTGCTTTTCCCTTAAATCTTCAACTGTTTTCATCATGGTGATTCTGAATTTTTTATCTGTCAGAAAGCGGTATTCTTTTGTGTCAGTGTTACTAGGTTCTGGAAGCTGATTTTCTTTCTGTGGTGTATTGTTCCCATGAGAATTTGCTTAACTGTTTGTATTTTTTTCTCTCTTTGCCTTGTTTGCTTTTGGCTTTGTAGTATATATCGTGTCCCCTTGCTTATGCTGGTGGTCATGGCTACTTCTGTGCTACTGCTGGGGCATGGCTGTATCTGCTGAGTGCTTGTGCCTAGGCTGCTGTAGCTGGTGGTCAGAGGTAGGGTTGGGGACTTCTGTAGCTTCCTCCTCAGTTCTCTTCAACTGGACTACTGCTGGTGGGTGTTTCTTCTGAGAGAGAACCACTCGCTCAGAGTATGAGAGGCATGGCTGCCAGTTGCTCCTCCCATGACATTGGAGGCCACTGGAATTGGAGGATTCCACCCAGGCATCAGTCTGCCAGATGGCTTATGTCAGTGGGCAGCACTTTCATGTATTCCTGCAGGATGTCAAGGAATGCTAGGTTGGGTGGGGGTTTCCCACCTGGGCATGCTTCTATTGTGCAGATGCTGGTGTGAGCTATAATGTTCCCTATGAGCCCCTGCCTTCCCAACTTCTATTACTTAAAAAGTGGAATCCAGAGCCTCAGCATGGGGTAGCCTAAAGTCCTATGCAGAGTGCTGTACTGCCAGGCACAGCCTGGGGCCCAATCCATTGGAAAGTAGCTGCAGGTTGAATGGGATGTACTTCTGTGTTGAACTGTTAGGTCTCTCTAGGTCATAACTAGGGAAATCAGAAAGAAAATACAGAAGAAATTAAAGAAAAGAAAGGAAAATAATTTTTTAAAGTGGAAAAAAGAAAGAAAAAGGGAAGAAGAGGGGGGGAAAGGAAGGAAAAAGGAGGAAAGGAAAAGGGAAAAAAGAAAAATAATAATAAAAGAAAGGGGGGGAAATTTCAGCTCAGGAATCTTGGCTCCCAAGGAACATAATGGCTGCTGTTTTTGCTTGCCTACCAGTGGAGGGTGCAGTAAGACAGAGTGGGATGTTCCCAGGGTCTGCTTTCTCCTTTGAAGTTGTGACTCAGTAAAAAGAAAAAAAGTGGGGGCGGGGGGAGGAAAAGTGAGAGAAGGTAAAGGGAGTGAGGGGAGATAAAATTTGCAAGTAGGTCGCTGTGCCTTCAAAGGAGCTGCGATTAATGTTGTCCCATTGTGGGGGGCCAGGGACTGAGTGGTATGCACTTCTCAGTTAACTGTTTTAAGCCCCTCCCATATGTGACTCATGTGAGAAAGAAAACAGAAAGCTAAAATTTGCAGTTCAGGCTCTCTTCTCTCCCAGGATGCCATCTGCAGGTGTTGGGGTCATGAATACTCACCAGAGGTATCCAAGAGTCTCTTAAAGTCTCAGTGTAGGTGAGAGTGTTGAGAGCCCGGGGATGGAGATTGGCTAGAGTTAAGGTGGTGGAGTCATGATGGCAGCTGTGGCTAGCTGGGGAACCCACCTCATTGCTTCCAGGTACCTACTGGGAGTGTTATCTTTCTCTGGCTTTGGATCTCCCTGGAGATGGCCTGATGTCCAGTCAGAAGAGTCTTGGGTTTTCCAAGAGCTTGTAATAGTCCTTTATTTTTGTATGATTGTTTTTAGGCTATTGATGATTTTGGTTTATATTTCACCATATTGTGGGCAAAGGCAGTCATCAGTTTTTTCTAATCTCTGAGGACATTTGTGGGACAGCATAACAGTAATTCCTTTTGGTACTATCTTTAGAAAATAAAATAATCTTTGAAACATATCAAAGATTAAGGAGTTTTTAGAATGCTTCATGCAATATCAGTTATGAATTAAACTGAAACCTTTTTATTTTGAACTTATATTAACTTTTCAGGATAACAAAACAAGTAATATATTAAATATAGATTTTGGGAGGGAGACTGGTTCTAGACAATTATCTTTTAAATTTTTTTCTTGGCGCTCAATATTTTCACCCAAAAAATAAAGTTTCATGAACTGATGTCAATGTGTCAAATACATAAAGGCACAGGGACACAAGATGAATAAAATACAGTTCTTACCTCTTGAACTTTTACCACTCAGGAGGGAGGTCAGTTGTGTAAATATTAATGTGCTAGTTGTAATGGAGGAGTAGAGGAGAGTCCAGAGGAGGAGGTACCTATATGTGTGGGTACATAAATATTAGTGTCAGGGAAGTAGTACTTGAGATTGGTACTTGCCACTTCAAACTTTGAAGCTTACTTTGTAGTATGGAAGGGAGAAATAAGGCTGTAAAGGATGAGAACATGAAACAGAAGCATGAAAGGTGATTGTTTTTTATTTTTAGAAACTACATGGAATATACCATGACTGGAACACAGCGTCTACGTGGCTGGTAATTGAAAGGCAGATAGGGTCTTGATAAAGTATCTTTGTATATGATATTAGAATCATATAGACTTCATTTTTAGGTGATTGACTTTTCTTTTAATAAGATTTATTTATTTATTTATGCATACAGAACTGGGATATAGGCCAGAAGTACAGGGGCGGTGAGAAGATTTACCAGAGACAGAGTGGGGAGCAGAATAAGCAGAGTGATAAAGTACACCGCCGAGGGGAGAGACAGGAGAGGTCTGCCTGCCATGTGGGTCACCTCCAGGGCGGTGAAGTGGCTGTGGCTCACTTGCAGTACTGTGCTTTTAACCCATTGTGCCACCAAGGAGGGCCTAACTGCTATTTTTACCAAGTTTTCAATTAATTAATATGTCACAATGAATGGGATTGATTTTGGGGGCTGACTAATTAGGGAGACTAAGTGGCGTAGAATCTGTTCTTTTTTTTTTTTTTAAAGATTTATTTATTTATTCATACAGAACTGGAGTACAGGCCAGAGATGCAGAGGGTGAGAGGATTTCCCAGGGACAGAGTGGGGAGCAGAACAGGCAGATCGACGAAGTACACTGCTGAGGGGAACAGCGGGTGGGGCAGGAGCGGTCTGCTGCGCCATGTGGTCACCTCCGGGGCAGGTGGGATCGAACTCATGAGGAAGTGGCTTAAGTTTCTTAGTTCAGTGCTTTAACCTGCTGCGCCACCAGGGAGGGCCAGAATCTGTTCTTTTATCTAGATGGTTGTAACAGTGAAATATGGAGTAGAAGAATGATCATTAAGGAAAAACATCTGGGGTTTCAAAACAAGTTGTATGCCTTAGGGCGGGGGGAAAAAATGAAGTAGATAATAAAGATTCAAATTACGTTCATTATACACTTAGATCCATAGGAGATAGGCGAGAGGTCTGGTGCCAACAATAGTAGGTATTGGTACCACTGGTGTATAGGTGTGAAGCCTCAGGGTTATTTCTATGTTTGAGCCTTTCCTGAGTGTGCTTACTCCTATTGTTCATATTCAGGCGCTTAAACCTTAGTAGTGAAGTTCAGTTAGTATCTGGGTTTTGGCATTAGGGGATGACAGCTATTTCAGCATCACAGCCTTACACTGCAAAGAATAACCTTGTCTATGGGGAGACACAGGTGATCCAGTCTGGTCCCGCAGGATTGTTCTGTATTGATAACCGTAGGCTCGTCAGTAATCTTTACTTCATACCCCTTCCTCCTTTTTTCTTTAATAGTTTCACCCTCTGTTCTGAATGCCAACTTTATAACATCTTAATCTAAAATAGTACCTGGTCTGCAAAAACCCAGTATGTCCTTATGTCAAGTGACTGTATGGGGCCTCCATATGGCAGCCACTCCTCTCTCTCAAATTGTACTGCCCTGGGATCACTACAAATAATCCAGTTGAAGTTTTTCAATAGGACCATTGCTTCTGATATATGCTGTAGTTGTCTATTTGCCTTTCAGTGATTATTGACTTCTTCAATTTCGTTGTAAAATATATGTAGGAGGCAAGCCTGGTGTCTTTTTGCTCTGCTGCCATTTGCTGGATTCTCTAACTGTACTATCTAAATTTCTTTCTGCTTATGCAATTTCAGTTTATTTCTTCACTGCTCATATTTCCTTCACCAATCCTCAGTGGGTGAGGATTTTAGGAAGGATATTATAAACAGCAGAAATAGAGTAGCTTGTCTTTTCATTTTTCCTTTAAAGTAATAGGTATTTGTGCCTCTAGAACAAGTTTGTCAAAGCAGCATGTATACACAATGGGGTTAACTAAAAGTCTGCTTGCTATTTTAGGGGAGGAAAACTAGAACTTATATTTATTTATGCTTATTTCCTCATTTTTAAAAATACAATCTTGGCATTATTTTTTAGCCACCTATACATTAGTAACTTAACAAATAATTTATAAATAAACATATATACCTTAATATATATACAAAAACTTTGCTAAATCAAGGTTAGAAGCCATTTTTATACAGTAGTATAAATTTATACAGTTAATACAATTGCTATAAGTGAGGACTTAATGAAGGTTTCTGTATACATTGTTTCTTGAATGTAAAAGTTAAAGATTACTTAATCCAAAATTGTTCATTTAACTTCTGATAAGTTTCATTTTAAGACCTGAAGATATTTTAATTTTGTATAGAATTTTAACTGTTTCATCTTTTCCTTGTGACCATTATGTAACTTATTACATTTTCAAGGATTTTCTTTTAGGTTGCAGTAGTAAATTAAACTCTCACTAGCAGAACTGAGAAACTGAGTAAATTTTGGTAGAGATAGAACATGAGTTTGTTCTTGGTATTTTGTGTAAATAATAATGAGGCCTTTCTCCTTTAGCCACCTCGAACATCTCATCCTATAGTAAAGTTTTCCTGTACAGACTGTGAACCAATGGTTATTGACAAATTGCCTTTTGACAAATATGAGTTGGAACCTTCCCCATTGACTCAGTTTATTCTGGAAAGGAAATCTCCTCAAACATGTTGGCAGGTGAGCTGAGCAACTACATGGTTTAAAAACTGAAGTGAGATGTTTCTTAAAAAGTTTAATTGAGTCATTTGTTTAGATAGCATTCTGCAAAAGTTAATGAACACTTTTTTTTTTAAAGATTTATTTATTTGTGCATACAGAACTGGGGTACAGGCCAGTGGTGCAGGGGTGGTGAGAAGATTCACCAGTGACAGACAGAGTGGGGAGCAGAACAGGCAGATCGATGAAGTACAGTGCTGAGGGGAACAGCGGGCAGGTCAGGAGAAGTCTGCCACGCGATGTGGGTCACTTTTGGGGCAGAGATGAAACTCATGCTGAGGTGGTTGTAGCTTTTTAGTGCTGTGCTTTAACCTGCTATGCCACCAGGGAGGTACCAATAAACACAATTTTAACCACTCTTTTTTTAACAGGTATATGTGAGCAATAGTGCAAAATACAGCGAACTTGGTCATCCCTTTGGTTACTTGAAAGCCAGTACAGCATTGAACTGTGTCAACTTATTTGTGATGCCTTATAATTACCCAGTTCTCCTTCCCCTTTTAGGTAAGGCAGTCTTAAGTTCTCTTTGACTCAGCATAGAAAGAAATTTCCTTAAAACAAACTTTTGGAACATCTCTTTGTAAATTTTGTCATAATGAAAATGTTTTTAATACTCTTAAAATAATTGAACGTATTGCACGGGATTATGGTGATGGCACACGGGTGACTTGGTGATGGGAAACCTGCGGGGATTACAATTGAGATGCAAAAAAAATGTACAAAATGATATAAAAATAAAATGTTGCAAGCTTTAAAAAAAAATAATTGAACTTATTTAAGATTGTTTTATAACAACCTGTTCATATTTGTGGTAAATTAAGTGTCAGCATCAAAACATCTTTGATTCTATAAACCTCATTAAGTATTATGTTTCAAATTTTTTATTTTCTGCAGGTTGAATTTCCTATAAGAGATCTAAGTATATTATCTAAGAATTTAAGCTTTTTCTTTTGACAATTTTTCCTTTTAATGACCAAATTTATTTAAGATCAATATGGTTAAAATCTGAAGTTACTTTCTTGGGATCATCTAGCTATAATTTTCTGAGGAATGCTGTAAGACTTGTACCCTTTATGGAGTCTTGATTTAAAAATTATAGCTGAAATATTAGATGATATACTTTATAGAAAACATTACATATACTTTATTTCTTCAAATTTCTATCATGGTTAGGCCTAGATAGGGCATAGATTTTCTTTATGTATTTTCTGACTATCTTTATTGTTACATGTAATTTTAGATTACAATTGTCATCTTTCACTTTTAAAATATTGCTATTGGAAATTCCAGAACTATGAATTGTGCCACTTTTAATTTTATTAAAAATCTGTATCTGATATTCTTTCTCTTTTAAAACTAAGATAGTAGATATTAAAGATGAAAACTTCTTTCATTGATAGTTTGTTCACATTATTTTTAGATGACTTATTTAAAGTACATAAAGCAAAACCAACATTGAAGTGGAGACAGTCGTTTGAAAGTTATTTGAAGACAATGCCTCCCTACTATCTTGGGGTAAGAATAATTTTGTTAAAAATAAAACTTGTTATATAAAATATATATTTTAAAATTAATTATAGTTATTATGAACTTAATATTTCTTGCTATTATGAATTGATTAAAATTGAATGCATGAATGACCAGAGGAAATGTGTTGGGAAAGAAGAGTTTCAGGGACTTGCAAAATAATAATGATGATCACAGGAACATGTGTTATGTTTTTCTCTTTATTGTCTCTCTTTATGTTTCATTCCCTATGTGTATATACATTTGTGACCTTGTGCCATTCTGTGCCCTCTATATGTATTAACTTCATTTAATTTATACTATTCAATTTATAATAATCCTATTAAGTAGAAGTGGTCAGTGTTTCTATTTTGTAGATGAGGAAACAAATTCATGAATTTAGGGTTTAGGCTTTTTTTTTTTTTTTTTTTTATGCATACAGAACTGGGGTATAGGTCAGAAATGCAGGGGCAGTGAGAGGATTCACCAGAAACAGAGTGAGAGCAGAACAGGCCGATGGACGAAGTACACTGCTGAGGGGAGCAGCGGGCAGGTCAGGAGAGGTCTGCCATGCCATGTGGATCACCTTTGGGACAGACGGGGATCAAATTCATGCTGACGTGGCCTTAGCTTCTTAGTGCTGTGCTTTTAGCCTGCCGTGCCACCAGGGAGGGCCCTAGGATGTAGGCTTTTAACCTCAATTGTTGTATTGCCCTTTTAAATTGCAGTTTTCTGACTGCAATTTTTCACTTCTGGAATTGAAACCCCAGGAGCAGGAAGAGAGAAAAGCAGTGGGGAGAGGACCATAATGGACTATTGTGGAAGGCTGGGTGCTTTGGTGGTGGGTGTGGTGTAAGGACATGCCTCTGAGGAGGTGTGACCCTATGCCTCTGAATCATACACAATGTAGTAAGCCCGTATTACCGCAATTTTTAAAAATGAAACAAAAATCGCAGTTTTTAATTATTTCTCTTCTACGAGCACAAAATGTTTTTATTTTATTCCTCAAATCTCTAAAAACATGCTTTAAAGTAGATACGTATGTGGGCTCTAAAACCATACATTTTTAGAATCACAACATTTCCAGTTCCTTAAAACTTACTGCATTGTCGGAGATAAATTCAATATACTAAAAGCAGTTTTAAACATTACTTTCACTGTCAATGCAGGAATATTACAGCATTTGACTTAACTAATTTTTCCAAATGTTCCCTAATAAGACATTAATTTCTTGAGCTTTAAAATTGTATTTTATAGTTGAGAGAAATTAGCTTTGTGTCTAGCACATGGCACCAGTGGGTGAAAAGGAAAATGAATATGACTGCTGCATATATTTATTTTTGTTTCATAGTAACTTGGAAGATTTAGTCAAAGTAATATGGATATTAAACATCAGAGCTGGCATTTGATAGCAGTTTGACACCACACTTATATACTTTCTAATATGTCTGTAAATGGTTATCATCCTATTTCTGATTCTATCCTATTTACATATGCCAGAGATTCTTGCTAGTGATATTTTTCATTACACGAAATGATTTTCAATTAATTAGACTGTCTTAATAATTGAAAATTATTTCACTGTACCTTAATAAATATTAGACTTTTTGCCTCATTCTTATTTTTCCTTTGTAGTTTTTCTGTTTTGTCAGCTCAGTTAATGATAGTAGTAATAATGATTAACATCTACTGAATGCCTACTGTGTTCCAGGTGCTTTTATCAGTACATTACAAATATTAATTCATTTAATCCTATGATAACCCTATGAAGTATAGATCCTGTTATTTTCACAAATTAGAAAATAAATCACAATGGGTTTAAATAACTCTGGCTCAGAGTTAAAAAGATACTAAGTAACTGAGCCACAACCTACCCAGTTATCACCCTTGACTCTTTCATTTCAAATCTACCTCTGAAATGTGTCTTCTGCCCATTTCTTCCAAACTTAGTATCTTTTGTGATGCTAAGTATTCCAGGAGTTCACCTTTTCTTGCTCTGGGTGGTGGTATAGACTTTAATCCTTTTGAAGTATTTCAGACCTGTCTTCCATTGACAAGATTTTACTGAAATACAAATATGATTGTTTTACTTTCATTGAAGAAAAGGAGAATCTTGGGGAGAAGAAATGTAGTAATGAATTTTGATATATATTATTATATTGACTTATATTATAAAATTTATTTTTTATATAACCATGAATTTTGATATAATTATATTGACATATATTATAATTTTTTTTTTATATAGCCTTTGAAGAAAGCTGTTAGAATGATGGGAGCACCCAACTTAATAGCAGACAGTATGGAATATGGACTTAGTTACAGTGTCATTTCATACCTCAAAAAACTGAGTCAACAGGTAATGTTGAGAGAAAGAGCAGGCCATTTAACATTTTGAATGGTTTTGACTAATTTCTTGATGGTTCTACTGGAATTCCACTATATTATTACATATATAATAATATAATTCTGTGTAAGTATGTGCTATGCTAAATTTTAAAACGTTAACCTCAAATAATTTCTAGTTTATGAAAAATTTGAAAAATTTGTTAGAGTTCTTTTTCTTAGATGAAATTTCAGTTTCCTTTGCTTTATATTTTAAAATCTCTAGCTTTTTCTTTCAAAAAGAGAGTTTCTTTTAAACAAATGATTGTATAAACTGAATTTTGTCACTTAGGACACGTCATATTAAAAGATATTGTGATGCAGTATATAGTTTAAATGACAGCCAAGTTACTCATGTAGTATGAAATAAATTATTTTTGTCATTACTTCTACTATCTCTACCTTAACTGCTAATTAAAATGCAAATTGAGTAAAAACAATGCTGTTTTCATTCCCGTGAAAAACTGATTTTATATTTGCAGTATCTCTTCATATTTAGTTATGTGCTATTAATACATACTAAGTAAATAATGATTTTTTTTTATTTTTATATTATCTCTATATGGAAGTATATTTTCATTTAGAATGCATTTACATTCATGATTTCAAGTAAAATTGGTATTATTGAAATTTGGTTTATTTGCCCTGTTTCAAAGTGTTACAGTTGTAATAATTTAAAATCTACAATTATTATTGTTAAAACTATATTCACCTTGCCCACTACTTGGTGTAACCAGGCCACTTGTTTGTAATTTATCGATGATCAAAGCTATTAGTATTTATCAATTCAGAATATGTCAAAACAATTTTTGCCTATTTTTACTTTAGGCCAAAATAGAATCTGATCGAGTCATTGGATCCGTTGGCAAAAAAGTAGTGCAGGAAACTGGAATTAAAGTCCGAAGCCGATCACATGGTTTATCAATGGCATATAGGAAAAATTTTCAACAACTGCTTCAGGGGATTTCAGAGGATGTTCCTCACAGACTGCTAGATCTTAATATGAAAGAATACACTGGTTTCCAAGTGGCATTGCTGAATAAGGTAATAGTTGAATGAGTTTAATATTGCTTTGTTATATTCTTTATTGCTGAGTAAATCAAATTCTAATAACTGATGTTTAGTTTAAGATGTACTAATGTATATACCTCTGCAGAATAATTATTATAAAGTGTCATTGAATTTTAGAGTCTTTGACTATAACAAAATCTTGACAACTGGATAAAATTTGAGATTACTTGATGAGCTCTATCAGTTTTTCATCTTGGCTTTCAGAACAATATTATTAAGATTGCCTCTAAGTCTTTATTTTTTTAAGCTGACTAGTTAACTTGTATATTTTATTTTCAAATCTAATGTGTAGACTAGAGATTTTAGTTTCTTAATACTATGTTTGTCTTTGAATGTTTTTCTATAGGACTTGAAGCCACAGACATTTAGGAATGCATATGACATACCAAGACGGAATCTCTTGGATCACTTAACAAGAATGAGATCTAATCTTTTAAAAAGCACCCGCAGATTTCTTAAGGGACAGGATGAAGGTTAGCTTATGGTCTTACTATTAATACTATATGTGTATGTGAGTATTTTCCTTTATATTGAAAAATATGGTAATACAAATTTTAAAGAGTCATTACAATAATCCAGTATACAGTAATTAGTACAGTAAAAATGAGTCATCCGTTTCCCCATATATCTTTCTACTGTCACTATTGCCTGAAATTTAACCTTTTTTAATAGTTTAGTTTCTTTTTTTCTTTTCTTACATTCACACACACACAGTAATTTTCTTATGATATACTGGTTAACTCTGGGTGGCTAATATGTATTATAATATTTCCTTCAATTATATTCATGGCAACAAGTCAAGTCAAAGTAGAATTTAACCTTTTACCATCTCTGATACAGACATCCCAGCTACAGCTTGTGTAAAAAATGATCTATGTGGTTTCTCTTAAGTTATTATAATTAAATTCCATTTCTTCGGGATAGTATGGAAGAGACATATTTACATGGTAAGGTTACACATATTGCTCATTCTGTGCAATGAAACGATCTGCATTTTTTTAGTTTTATTTAAAAAGTAAAAAATTTTTTAAAATTTCCAAAGAGTATGTCACAGTATATAAATACAGCAGTGTATTTATTAAAAAAAAAAAAAAAAACTCTGCCTAGACTAATACCAGGTAGTATTCACATATAAGAACGCATTTAATGATAACTAGATAAGGTATGGTTTTAGTGAAGTTAACTTTTGTTGTTGCTCTATTTTGTTTGAAAAGATCAAGTGCACAGTGTTCCTATAGCACAAATGGGGAATTATCAGGAATACCTCAAGCAAGTACCTTCTCCACTGAGAGAACTTGATCCTGATCAGCCTCGAAGGTTGCATACATTTGGTAACCCCTTTAAACTGGATAAAAAGGTAAATTTGAAATGCTCATTATTTAGTTAGTTCTTGACACTATGGATATAATATTTCTGAATTTAACTGAAGTAAGCTGAAACTAGTTGGCTAGTAGAGTATCTAATAAATATTGTAGTTAAAGTAGTTGTTTAAATGAAAATGGAGTTAAATGGGTATTCACATATACATCAAGGAGAATTCTTTTTTGGTTACAGGGTATGATGATAGATGAAGCAGATGAATTTGTGGCTGGACCTCAGAATAAACATAAACGACCTGGAGAACCAAATATGCAAGGGATCCCTAAAAGACGCCGCTGTATGTCTCCACTACTAAGGGGGAGGCAACAGAATCCAGTTGTGAACAATCATATTGGAGGAAAAGGACCACCTGTACCTATGACTCAAGCACAGCCAGATCTTATTAAGCCCCTTCCTCTTCATAAAAGTAAGAGTTATTTTTTAAAACAATGTTCACTGTTCTTGGTTCACTAGGAAAGAACATTTTTTTTTAGTGAAGGTTATAGAAGAAGAATGAAGTGTAAGCCTTGATTAATCTAAATTAATGTGTAGTCATTTTTGTATGTCTTTTTTAGTGAATGCTGAACATTTAATGTTCATTATGCTTTATTAGTATAATGTTCATTATGCTTTATTAGTATCATGATCTAAACTATCATTTCTAAATCTTAAATATTTCAAATAACAGTTTTTAAAGAGAATTATCAATAGTCATTTCAGTTAAATTCAACAAATTATTAATATATGGGTTACTTTGTAGGACAATGCTAAGCAATATAGTATAGCTTGAGGTATTCTTCCTTCATTTATAATAAGTAAGTCATTTAAATTTTCATTGTTAAGTCTGATGAAGAAAATTGTGGAAGCAGTTGGCCAAAGGATATAACTTAGGCACTTTACTAAGGAAGTTTTCTTTAAGCCAACTCTTGAAGGATAGATGGGAAATCAGTTAACCAAAACTCTGCATGTAGTTGATGCTAGAGTGGTAGTCTAAGAAGAATAAATGCAAAGGTGTAGGGTAAAATAGAAGGCCATTAGGGAGTGAAAGAATTCTAGTATAGCAAAGGTATCAGGAATGAAGTAAGAACTAAAAAATAAATAGATCATGGAAAGCTGTGAAAGCCATTGTAAAAGATCATATACTTCATTCTAAGAATAGTGAGAATCTATTGAAAATTTTTAAAAGGTGGTGACTTTATTTGATTAGCATTTTATGAAAATCAGACTCTATAATATTTTCAGGAAAAAAAAGACACAAGGAACTCTTAAAAGAGTAACGGATTTATTAATTATAGTTAATGGAGGAAAAAACAAATACGCCTCTTGATGGAATTTTATAGTACTGCCTCTGAAGTCTTGCCAGAAAAAAAAAGTTTGACATCAATCCTTATCAGTCCTTTAAAAAATACAAGGGCCCAAGAAACAGAGATACAACACTTAGCAAGATCTAGATTTTGAGAAATTTGACAGGTCACAATATTGTGTGTGATTTGGGGGTGGGAAAGGGGGCTTTTTTCCCTGAAAAATAATGCACGTTAAAAATAGGTACAGAAGGATTTTATAAATTATAAGGTTGTTAAGACATATAAACTAACTTCAGTATACAGGCCTCATTTGAACCCAAAATTTAACAAAATCAAAATTCAGCTGCTTTTGACAAACAGAATATATACATGATGATTGGAGATACTGATAGGTTAGACACTGACTTGCATTGCTGATGTTAATTATCATGGATGCATGGAAATCAGTTAGGAACTCGGGAAGAGTGATTCAGCAATGGGTTTGTGAGGAGAGGATGTATTTGAGAAATAAGTGAACATATTATCAGAGAACTTGGTCAGGACTAGACATTTGACCCATGGCAAAGCAGGAGTCATGCTTCTATCTTGAGAGTTACTGGGTAGATAATGGTGTTGGGGATGGAATGGAAGAAGAGATGATGAGTGAGTTTGTTTAGAAGTGCCTGTCAGATAGCCAACTTCTAGCTTAAGGAGATGGGTATTGTGTTTGGAACCAAGGAAAAGAGAGAAGTAAGCTAAAGAAGTAGGTGTGGGAGGCCACTGGAGTATGTAAATCTCCACTGAGGGGGAAAAAGTGAGAAGAAAGATCCTAAAACAGGACCTTCAAAGTATCATAGAGGAAACTAAGGTTCAGTAAAAAAGATTGAGAAGGAGGAGCCTCAGAAACAAACAGTGGGATGAATTTAGTGCAATGGAAGTTAAAGGAAAGAGAAATTGAGGGGTGGTCTCAAATACTGTTTAACTGATTAGTTAGTGGATGGAGCAAAGGAGATAGAAGACTAAGTGGAATGAGGAGTGAAAGACAGGAAACAGAAAGTGTAAACAACCAGGTTAAGTTTAAATGTGATGGCTAATTGAAAAAGAGGTCATGGAATTGAAAATGGTGGTTTTGCTTTGTCTTTAAGATGATAGAGAATTCAGCATATTTAAATGCTGGTTTGATAGTCAGTAGGCAGGGAAGGATAGAGAAAAGAAAAGAGAGTACAAAATCAGAAAAATCAGAAGGGAATGGTCCAGAGCCCAGTTGAAAGAATGCTTCATCCATAGAAGCAAAGTGAATGTAGTTATAAGTTTGATGGTGGGAAACAGGATGCTCCCTTTCCATGTCTTTGCTTTTCTTTCCTCTGCTGAGAGAGGAGATTAGAGAAAGCTTGAACAACCTTTTTTTTTTTTTTTTTTAAGATTTATTTATTCGTACAGAACTGGGGTACAGGCCAGAGATGCGGAGGGTGAGAGGATTCACCAGAGACAGAGCCGGGAGCAGAACAGGCAGATCGACGAAATACACTGCTGAGGGGAGCAGCGGGAGGGCCAGGAGAGGTCTGCCTCGCCATGTGGTCGCCTCCGGGGCAGGCGGGGATCGAACTCATGCGGAAGTGGCTTTATCTTCTCAGTGCAGTGCTTTAACCCGCTGCGCCACCAGGGAGGGCCTTGAACAACCTTTTGTTGGAGAGGGAGACAAAGTAAAAGAATTGCTAAGCTGTACCAAGATTGAGGTACAGATGGTGATTGTGACCACTTTGCAGAGTTGAATTATATTTCTCCAGTAGTGCTCATTATTATAAATGCATTTATAATAATGCATTTAGAATAGGTAGAATCAGATAGGTAGAATCATCAAATTTGGGGTTTTGCCTGGCAGGTGTTGTGGAGGATAACAGAATGAGATATTCTACAACACTGGTAAAAAAAAAATGATTTTTATGGATAAGTATCTAAAAAGGCTCTCTGATTAATAGGAAGTGGAGTTGTTATTGGGATAAAAATTTGAGTTAAATGGCAACAACAGGAATACTAAAAAGGTTATACTCCAAAGCAACATACCCCTATGAATGTCTGTCTTGAGAGGCAAACTTGTAGGTTGAGAAGTTCTTTGGAGATGTGAAATTGAGGTTTTGGGGAGGCCAAGTTTGTGGCACATGGTCTATGTAGATATGTAGATATTTATAACGCTAAACTTTAATGTGTACATGAACTATTTGGAGGCCTCGTTAAAATACAGATTTCTAATTCATGCAGTTTGAGGGTGGAACTTAAGATGAGCATTTCTAGAAAGCTCTGTCCTAACGCTGCTTGTCCACAGACTACACTTTTATTAGTAATGAGGTGGAATGATCTGAAGAGCATGGAATTGGGAGCAAGCCTGTGAGCCAGGTGCCAGACATCCAGGCCACTGAGATCTGTTGAGAATCAATGGAAATAGTGATGAGGGGCCCTCCCTGGTGGTGCAGCAGGTTAAAGCACAGCACTGAGAAGCTAAAGCCACTTCTGTATGAGTTTGATCCCCGCCAGGCCCCAGAGGTGACCACATGGCGTGGCAGACCTCTCCTGAACCCGTCTGCTGCTTCCCTCAGCAGTGTACTTCAGTTGGCCTGTTCTGCTCCCCACTCTGTCTCTGGTAAATCCTCTCACCAACCCTGCATCTCTGGCCTGTACCCCAGTTCTATATGCATAAATAAATAAATCTTAAAAAAAAGAAAGAAAGAAAGTAAATAGTGATGAGGAGAGAGAATGAGTGGAGTGGTGTATTTGAGCCTCAGTTAAAGTAGGAGTTGTCGTAGAAAATACTCAAGTTTGAAAATGATGGACTAGGATTTAGGAAGGAATCACAAGTTCAAGGAATTTTGTGGAAATGAATTTATATTTTTAAACACTAAAAGCAGAAGATTTTGGTAAGGGAATGTAGAATTCAGAAACTTTCAGTGGGGAAGAAGTGTAAGGTTAAGTAACATGCTTGTAAGCTTTAAGTCTAATAGCCTGGTGAACTTAAGTGGGCACAGGATTCCTTTGTGTTGCTCATATGAAGACTGGAAAGATGGTTATATGAAAGGGTGTACTATATAGACCTGTTTGGTAGAATGTTGAACACACACTGTGTTTAGCTTTCCCTCTAAATTGTAATAGGTATATAAAGTCGGAGTAGTTGGAAAGAACTGGGACTCTCCAAGGAAAAAGTTACCACAAAAATCTTGATTATGTATATCTGGATCATTAAAAACTTATCGGCCCAGTAAAATTCCATATAATAAAATAGAGAAATAAGTCAGTAGAAATTGGCTTTTTATTTTTCTTCATCTAAGATCTAAAATTACATGGATTTTGAAAATATTATCAGTTTTTCATATTGAGATCCATTTCTTTAGCACAGCTAAGAACCATATTATTATGTGTTAATTATATAAATCAAGGAAATAAGTTGTGATATGCTATAATAATTGTTGTTTTCTCTATTGTGTGCCTAAAAATTCTCTCATCATGTTTACCTTATTTTTGTTTTTAGCTTCAGAAGCCACTAATGATTCAACAATAGATGATGTGGTTGAAAATCATGTTGCAGACCAACTTTCATCAGATATTACACCAAATGCTATGGATACTGAATTTTCAACATCATCTGCTGCCAGTTTACTGGAACGACCAACCAATCATACAGAGGCTCTTGGTCATGACCACCTAGGAACTAATGACCTCACTGTCAGTGGATTTTTAGAAAATCATGAGGAGTCAAGAGATAAAGAACAATGTCCTGAAGAGAATATACCAGCATCTTCCCTCAACAAAGGAAAGAAATTGATGCATTGCAGAAGTCATGAAGAGATCAACACTGAATTAAAAGCACAAATAATGAAAGAGATCCGAAAGCCAGGAAGAAGTATGTATAATTAGAGACTAGTCATATCTGATTTTTGTCTGTGCTCAAAAAATTAGTCAAATTAACTGACCAACATAGATCTGATCCTAGATTTGTGTTAAAAAAGTGAGCTGTATACTGTTGATTCTTCATTCAGTTGACAAACACTTTATATCTGTTATTTCCAAACTACTGTGCCCCTAGTTATAAGTGGAGGGACTGAAAACGGAGAACACACAGATAAATTACACATCATGTAATGACACATCATGTAATGACATCATGTAATGACAGAATACACATCATGTAATGACAGAAACCAAAAGTCTGAGGTATTCTGGCCAGCAACTGGGATTTTACTGTAGCAATTTCCCAAAGACAGTAAATATTAATTTCATATCTCTTGAATGCTTGCCATGGTGCTACCACTGTGTTTAAGACATAAGCTATGATAGTGAATAGGGATATATATAGGTCAAAAAAAATCTATGAGAATTTCTGTCTATTATATGAATACAAAAGTACACTGAGCAGCACATTTTTAGTATTTATTTAGCATTCATTCAGAGCATGTTGATAAATGAACTGTTATGATGGTGTAATGACCCATGGGTCCAGAAGTGGGTGGTAAAGTTCATAAAATTTAGGAAGGTAAGTACTATGTGGTAGTCTCTGACAAAAGTTTTATGTGGAAATTTGAAATTGAAAATAGTACTTTTTAACATATTTTCTTCTCTCCCTCCTCTAATGTTAGCCATAATTTATAATCATAAAGGTGGTTTTTGTAAAGGCCACTACTACTTTTCAATGGCATTACAAAAAAAATTGTCTACTCATGCTTAACCTTTATGCTTGACACTTTAATGAGAACTTCAGTCATAAAAGTAGTGTTGATAAGTTATTTTATCTGTTGACATACAGTGAAATGCATTTATTGTAACTCGCTAAGTAGCAAAATTTTATGTATATCTTTTGTTTTTGTCACATCTTAACAAAGTAAACTGCAGTAGAGAAATATGGAATAATAAGTGCAAAGGAAAACCAATTAATTTTTCTTTTTACTTTTTACTTTTTTGTTTAAGAATATGAAAGGATCTTCACCTTATTGAAGCATGTGCAAGGCAGTTTACAAACAAGACTAATATTTTTACAAAATGTCATTAAAGAAGCATCAAGGTAAATATTTATTGTGCATTATGAATTGATGTTGAAATGAATTCCCAGTTTATCTAGTCACTAATCAGTTGTTAGAAATACCCTTGAAAGGCAATATTTAAGTGCAGTTTATTTGTACATAATGTGAGCAAACGGGTAATTACGGAACCAGAGTGGGACAGGTTGAACCTTATTCTGATTGCTTCGGTAGTCCAGAATTCTGTGTCTTAGTACAAGGAATGTGTGGATCAAGGCTATAAATGGTATCAACAAAGGGCAATTATCTAGAAAGCATAGTTATGTCCCTTTAGTGAGTACCAAAGCATTTATTTTTATTTTTCCTTCAAGACTTTTAGAATTTTTATATTGTAAGGAAATTTAGGTTTTATCTCATCTGACCCTCTAGATAGAAATATACCCATTACTTTTAGTTCATCCAGATATACATAAAAGCTTTTAAAAAGAGGATAAGAGCAGGTAATTTTACTGCTATTTGTTGAGGGATCAAGATAAGAACATAACTTTTTTTGAGTATTTAACCTGTTCTGCTTAATGTTTATTCTGTCAGTCCATAATTTCATCATGGAAATAGCTATATTCCACTTCTGCCACCTTTTAGAGAGTTGTGGATGTGCATATTAATTTATTGAATATAGATTAAAGAGGTATAGATTGGATTCTAAAAAACATCAAAAGCATTGATCCTTATGTAAATAAATACAATTTTCTTCTACTGTGTTACACATTTTTTAAACTACTAGTTGGTCTTTGACTGTTACATCGTATACTACAGATCATCTTTATCATTGATTTGCTAGCTGTCAAATTGTATTAGTAGAACATCATAGTTTTTAATGCTGTTGTCCAACTTTAATGTCTTATTTTGTGGGGCATTATCCATTCTCTGTTCAGCTTTTTAAAAGAGCATAAGAAGAAGCTATTGGAGTCATCACTTTGGGAGCCAAAATTTTCCTCTAGAGTATTTGTGACCCTTGTATATATTAGTTATATCTTTTTCTTTTTTGAAAGGAAAAACCTTTATTCTATTGTTCCTGGATTACTTATTTTGGAACATACTTTAATACCACTTTGATAAAATAATTTACTAATCTTCCAAAAGATTTTACATTGTTGTTGACTTTTCATTTTCATTTCAGTTTGGAAAATCTTCCCAAAGAGTTCATCTCTTTTCTAAAACAGAATTATATTGATATATGACTATCCATTCAAAAGATATTGAGAGTAATATTACTTATTTTTATACAGGTTTAAAAAACGAATGCTAATAGAACAACTGGAGAACTTCTTGGATGAAATTCATCGAAGAGCCAATCAGATCAACCATATTAATAGCAATTAAAAGAGAACAGAATGTGGCCACTTATTTCACTATCTTCTCCAAATACAAAGTAAATACAAGACTGTTGTGATCTTGCATTCATTTTTTGACATGCATTGTTGGCTATTTGAAATACTAAGAGCAAGTCTACAGATCCTTTTTCCCATCATTTTACAGTGACCTTTACTTCATTTTGGTTTATTTTTGTAATGTGAAAAGTATCACTCTTAAAAAACATTTTTATTTAACAAACTAAAAATATTCCTCCAAATCTCTTGCTTGTCATTGACTCTTGCGTGTCAATTTCCCTCAGGTTCTATTTTCTTAAACCAACCTTTAAAATTGTCACCTCTGTTAAGGTTGAACTTTGCCAAAAAAAAAATAATAAAAAGAAGTTACTTTGTAATTTTTGGGGAAAAAAGCACATACATTAAAACTAGGTAATGTTTTGTATATACAGTTATTTTGGATATATTATTGTAAGTTGTACAAATGTATTTTGAAGAATATTTAAGAAAAGCACTTTTGTTATTCCATCAATAAATGCTCTATTTTACTCTTGTGTGGTTTAGGAAATAATCACATTTAAAATAATCATTTAAAACGACCTTAAGATAATGGAATTTTAAAGGCCGTGCTTTTTAAAGCATTGGAAAAATGCACCACTTGAAATTCATATTTGTTAAACTTATCTGTAATTACTTGTTACATAATCTGCATTGTCTTTTTGCTATATGTTATTAGTTTTTGTTGGCCACACCATACTCTCATATCTGCCTAGATAATGGAAATTACAATTGTCTGTGGCAGAGAGATAACCAACTCTTAAAACTGTTTAAAAAGCAGACACCTTTGGACATTACTGGTTCCTTATTTTCCTTCAATTCCTTTCCCCTTCTCATTAGGATTGTGGATGGCACTAAGTTGAAGCTGTTATTTAGGGAGTGGTAAGTTTGGGTACACCACATACTCTTTAATGTCTCTCCTTTAGCAGCTTGATGCCATGCTTACATAAGGCCCACAACATTTTGGGGGTTCAAAGGGAATTTCTTGATTCATCTCTCATATGTAAACTCTCCTTTTATGTAGAAACTAAATGGAAAGGAAATGCATTTAAGATAACTTTGTTCATTTTGCTTTCCCCCTGAGTTACCCAGAAAAAGGAAAAAAACTGGCATTATTCATTTCCCACCCTTAGTCAAAATGGCCTCAGGTGTCCTAACTGAGGACCTAATTTACCATTCATAGATCACTGCTGTGCCTTGTAGTACTGGGGGGTGACCAGTAGAAAAGGTTAGGTTATTTAGATTAAAAGAGGCAAATTGATTGATAGAAACATAATAAAATTGAAGTTTGTTTAGGTTCATAATATTTGAAAGTCACATACCCTTTTTACAAGTTGGCATTTTAATTTTAAGGGTATAGCAAAATGTAATTTTTTGTGAAGAGAAGCCTATATGGAGGTTGAGGACATACTCAAGATCTGTTAATTTAGTCAGGGGGCGGTGTGTGGGGGGGTTAATACCCTTAAGATGCTGAACAGAAAAATCCTGTCAAGAAAAGGAAGCATTTAATGTGATGTTATATTTTCATATGCAATCCTTTAAACCTTTTTTACCTCTACAAAATACCTTTAAGTAAAGCAGGATGTCATTTAATAAGTGGAATTGTTCAGGTAAATTACCTAAGGTCACACTGCTAAATTCAGTAAGAGCTATCCAAAATCCAGAATATATTGTCTGGTCTTAAATGATGCATTTAGATTTTGAGATGAATATTCAAGAAAGGGATTCAGTCTTTCCCATATTTAACAGTTTTTCTTATCAAAATGTTCTTATTTCCATTTTACATTTGCTCATGAAACAATGCTTTTTTATAACCTTAACCTTAATACTCTTTTTTTTTTTTGCGATGAACCATAGAGGAATTTGGGAAGAAGTAATTCATTCAGTCTTCTCTTTTTGTCCTTAATTTATCTTCTTCCATACTCTCTACACTATCATCCCAACACCTACTCACCAAGTTTGAAACCCATTGAAACAAGTTTAATAGCCGGTCTCTTGCAGGCTTTTTACATTTAGAAAAAATGGGCATATTGATGAAACATTGTAGCATTTTTATAAGCAAAGGAGAAGGGGAGGATCTTAAAGGGATCATCATGTTTTTTAGGCATTTTAGATCAATGAATGAATTTAGGCTCACCAAGTGTCATTGTCCAACTATTTAATCTTGAGATAAGATTGGTTTTTTTTTTTTTTTTAGTGTTCCTATATATGTCCCATTTGTTAATTGATTAGATCATTATTTTACCCTTATCACTAAGATTTGTCATTTTGGTGTACTGAAGGTTGAAGCTGGTTTCTAACTCTTCAATACCCCTGTCACCAGAAGAGTAACCACTTTGCCTTGTGCAATATGGGCAAGTACCTCCTGGAAAATGAGGTAAATAAATTGATAAGGATTATATTTACATATGTGATGGATTACGGAACTGGTTTTGGTTAGCCTTACATGTTCTGTATACTAAAGCATTTCTGAAAACTCTTACGAAATAGTGCTGTGTCCTTCACTAATTCAGAGATTTTATATCATATTTATGCAATTAAATTCCAAAAAAGAAATTTCTTTTCAACTGCCATCAATCTTTACTGGCTATCAGCTTTTGGCATTGACCTTTCTGTTTAGTTCTGTCTCTGTTTCTTGAAGGAGGAGATTCCATCTTTCATTTTTGACATACATCCTTTCTAGGAGAGGGCTCTCTTGTAAGTTCTGTTCTAAGCTATAAGTGACATTTTTATCTAATACGTGGTTGGGATGATGAAATACTAAGAGGGTGTACTCTGTTGAAGGACTTTTCTCCCAAAATAATCTCAAACTAGATTATTTCCTAGTGAATGGTAATCTTCATCCTTTTTGTCAAGTTTCCTTTGATTTCTAGCACGTTACAGCAGTATGCAAATGATTCTCAGAAAAAATGATGTTGACAGTATTTCCTTAACAATTTGTGTAAAGCCTATGAGTAATTTTCATTATTCTAACTTTTGACTTTTTCTCTCCATAAATAAAAATAATGCCTGACATTTAGTTAAAGTAGATCCACTTTTGCTTGATTTTGTTAGTCTTGTTTCATCCTATCTCTTTTCAACACATTGTTTAGACTTGCCAACAACTCTTTACTGAGAATCTCTCTTCTGTAGGTTGATAAATAATTTTCCAGGGGCATGGGAGAGGGGAAATTAGAAATAAATCGAATACTTAGTTCAATGTTGTTGACCTTTAAAGGACTTATGTTTGTCCTTTTGTGCTAAGGCTTGCCTGTACCATCCTCTGTGGATTAAGATGAAGTTGTATATACTGTGACTTCAAAGTATTAGGGCAAACATTTGATATTTGTGTATCTTCAGCAACCTTGTAAAAGAACAGAAATTTACGTACATTATTAGAACACAAGAATACCAGGTAGGGAAATACTTCTATATTCCAGTGGCCTGAAGAAACTCATTCTTCTCTCCTACTATGACAAGAAAGCTAGGCAACAACTTAAAAACAAACCAAGCCTTATCTTGATGGTTCTTCCATCTTGCCAGAAATAGAAAACCAAATTAAAAACAAAACTACATTAACTACAAGTGAGCTGAGATAAAGAGAAGGCAACAAACCATGGAAAATAGCAGTAGCCTTTGTTGTTCATGAAATACTCCCCTTAGGATATAAAACATAGGAACTGAGATATTCCTGAACAATCATAGAAATTAGCTAGCAGGAATGCTTGGTTTAGACCACAATGTACAAATGAGCTCTTGTTGCTAGAGAGATGCTCATAAATACTTATCTATATCCTATAATAAAAAATGTTGTAGTACCTGTGTTGGGTTCTCTCAGGAAAAAGATGAATGGCCCATCTGCTTTAAAAATAGGAATCTGAGAACTTTCCAGTAACAATAGAGCTGCAGGAAAGATTAGAAGAATTTCATTGAAATTCTATTCATTTGGGGAAAGAATTGAGTGTAGAGTCAGCTGTACCCTTGATTTTTAAAGAAAAGCATCCTAATATTTTATACCCTTGATTTTAAAGAAATAAAAACATCTAAATATTTCATTGCTTTTAATGTTAAGATAGGTTTCAAATGGGGAGTTTTTAAAATAATTTTTACATCATGTTGTGCCTTTTTTCATCTCAGTCCTAATCCCCGTGTCAAATGGGGAGATTTTTAAGGTACCACTTAACCAATCCTGTGTCCTATTTTTAAAATACTCGAAATAAATTCTTTGCTGAGCATTATTTTCAGCATTATTCTTTTTTATGGGAATAATAGTACAATTTTTTTTTCAAAATAAACGTAAATTTCCCTATACTTTTTGAAAACTTTCCATTAACTTTTTTTTTTTTTTAAATGCTACACTACATCTGGACTTGGAGTTTTTAAAGGGTAGGTTTAGGAATGTGACTAGAACTGGATAAATCTAACAGAAGTAGAGACGAAAACTCCACAGAATTGCTGGCTTTTCCTTGTGAACATACCTGTGGCTTTAGATGTCTTGGTGCCTTGCTCAGAAACCTTAATCTCGCCTTTGTGGATTGTATCACAAAAGCTATCTTTGCCTAACCCAAGAAGTGATAAAAATGTGACTTGCATTTTTTTATGCATCTTAAGAATTTGAGTATACTTTAAAGGGTATACTTAAAGGGTATACTTAGTTATATCTTATGCTGCTTACTGTGTAGCTTGGGAAAGAATTGTTTGGGGGATTTTTAAGTTAAATGTTTTATAAAACTTAAAACCTCAAATTCAATAAATTAATATCCCTCAATATGCAAAGCTATGCCCATTTTTTTTTCTTTTCAGTAATTTCCAAAAATACATTTTTTGGCAATATTTTTAAAACATCAGTGGTCATAAGAATTGGTAGAGAATATGTTAAAGTTGGATTCTGGAGCCCAGCATTTTCAGCAAGGTGAGATGATTTCCCTTGAATGGCTTCTTGCTCTATATTTTAATAGCTGTTTTTTAAGTCAGGTTTATACTGTGGACTTTAGAAGATATAATTAGCATATTCAATATCTAATGCTGCATGACTGCATAATGTGTACTTAGGCATTACAACTATGCAATTAACTTGCCTCGTGGGCTAGAATCTAAAGAAAATGAGGCCACACCCTCAGTAGGAAGTCCTGATAGGGTAGTGTCCATTTCCATCCCATCTATGCACACACAAAACACTATTACCCATTGAAACGCATATTCTACCTAACTAGTGCGCTACTAGAAAGGAACCTATAGCATAAATATTAATAATTTTGAGGTACATGTATATTGGGGGAAGCTGCTTTGTTTCACCTTCAGCTAATTATTTTTCATTTTTCATGCATATGAAGGAGATGGCAAATGGATGTTGTGAGAGGATAAAAGCAATCCAGAATATAGAATATGGAACATTTCGTCCATCTTGTAAATAAGTTATATGCAGGGAGTTAAGAATTTAATATTCTCTTACTATGTTTCCTGGTATTAGTGAAGGAACCCAGACAAGGACCAAAGGAAGGGGAAAATAATGGAAATAATCTAGTGTCACTTGTTCCAAGCAAGGAAGAATCTAGCTTAGTTTAGCAATTGGTTTTATTCTGTAGGATTTTTTTTTTAAGAAACAAATTTCCCTTAATCAGCCACTATTTCACCAAGCTGAAATGCAGTACCAAAAATAGAATTTTGTGGATTAAGAATAGATTGATGATAGTCCTGAGAAGACTGTACTAGTTGGTCACTTCTTACCTGTGACAATACCGAGCATGGTATCTGAACTTTTTAAAATAAATGTTGATGGGATGGGAATAGAGACACCACTACAAAACCTTTGATAGCTAAATACATTAAATATGTCTGTATTCAGAGTTCAGGCACCTTTGCACAGTGTGAGAAATAAGACCAGTCGGTATGAATGAGTCTGTTTATCTAAATATCTTCAGATTGCAACTGAAGAGTTTCACTTAAATAGCTTTACTCCTCAGACTAAAACGTTCCAATAACTGACATTTATGTGTTCATATAGCTATATGCCAAGATACAGGCTGTTATGTCTTAGAATCTACATCTCTTAAATTTTATCTGGTAAGAGTTGACATTTCAGAAGACAAACAGTTGTGATCAAAATAAGAATTAGGAGTCTTCTGTGAGTTTGTGTCTTCTTGCTTGGTCTTGTATTACAGTGCTTATCCATTTAATTTTGTTAAATAGATGTTGAAATTGTATGCAACTAATGAAATCCATGAAAAGAGGCCAATCACAGATTTTCCTGACTTTAGCTCTTGGCCTCGGGTTCATCCTTTCTTGCACTGCTATCAGCTGCCTTTGAGGGTTGCACAAACCATTTTTCCAAAATTTGTTCCCAGCATTGCTCATAGGTGCTATTCTGTAAAAAGGGTTCCATGATTAAAATGAGAAATGCAGGTTGAGTAATTTTGTGATTTTGTTTTTAGTAGGGAACTGAATTGCTTATTTGCGCAAGTTGGCAGTGAATCTCTACAGAAGGGCTAATACATACAGTTTAACTATGGACCACCTATACCATCCTGTCTCCAACTTTTAACAGACTAGCATTCTGGGGAACATAGGAAATGGTGGTTGTAGTAGACCATAAGCGAGTAACACAGAATGTGTCTGGCAAATCTCATCCAAACGGTTGCCCCAGTGCTCCCTTACCCTTTGTTGGTAGAGACTATCCATGCATTGTGTGTGCTTGGTCATACTCTCAAAATGTTAAAGAATCTTCATAACTTGATATTGTGTAAGCATACAATTTGTTCTTTTACAAGTGAGTGTAAGATTAGGAAGATAACTAGAAGCAAATCTAGTCATAACTTTTGAACATCCTAGCTTTGCTAATAGTAACTATAACTGAAAAGCCAAAAGAGCTTTATGAAAAGCTGATGATCATATGTAGGGACATTGTAGATTTTGCAAATTGTGTACTTATACTGAAAGAGAAAACTAAAAAAATATAAAATTAAACTATGGCTAGTTGCTTTCTTCATTTTCCTCTAGCTCATTTGTTTTATGTATATATTGAGGAAATAGTACCACAATAAGATTAATCATCTATTGCTTCACATAGTTAGAATTCCTTTGCATACTAAGAATTTGTAATACCTACTCAGCAAGTTATCATTATACAACAAAGTAAAGTAAAATCACCATGCTCAGAACTTATCTTTTAATGGAATTTTGTACCCTCACTGCCTCCCTAGCAATTAATGATCTACTTTTATCCTATGAGTTTGTTTTATTTAGATTCCACATATATGTGAGATAACAGTATCTTTCTCTGACTTATTTGCCTTAGCATAATGACCTCAAGGTTTACTCATGTTGAAAGTGGCACAATTTCCTTTTTTTAATGACAGTATTTACTTATACACACATACACATGTATGTATGTATACCTAGATATATAGGTATACAGATACAAATATGTATACAGTTAATATGTCACTTAATGATAGTAGTATATTCTGAGAAATGTATCATTAAGCAACTTTTGTCACATGTGAGGAGGGTGCTTCCACAATCCTAAATGGTGTAGCCTACTACACACATAGGTTGTATGTAGGGATCACTATCATATGCAGTCTGTTGTTGACCAAAATATCATTATGTAGAGTATAACTGTACACCCTTGACCATACAATGACAAATTTACCTATTAATGCATTTCTCACATCTCTATTATTAAGTGGAAAACAATTATGCATTTACCAGTACCAGTGATTTTTGTACATGCATAGGTTTTTGCAGCACTAATTCACATCTTTATTTTATCCTGAAAAATATCCTTTAGCATAAGTGGTGGTGCACTCCCTTGTATTAGCTTCAGAAAATTTTGTTAGTTTGATAAAGTCCTGCTCTCCTTCATTTCTGTAGGACAACTTTGCAGGTATATTATTCTAAGTTGGCAGAGTTTTTTCTTTCAACATTTTGAAGATATCATCCAATTATTGGCCTTTCAAATTTCTGTTGAGAAATCCACTGATAGTCTTATAGGCATTCCTTGTATGAATGAGTCATTTTAAATATTTTCTTGCTTTCAAATTTCTATCTTTGAATTTTCACAATTACAGTGTTTTTTAGTGTAGTTCTTTTGAGGCTTAACATCCTGTACTTTCCCCAAGTTTTGGAACTTTTCATTCATTATTGCTTTAATAGACATTTTACCCTTTTCTCTTCTGGGATTTCCTTAATATGTATATTGTTTCTTTTGACGGGGTCCTCAGCTCTCATAAACTTTAATGTTTTCATTCTTTTTTTCCTTTTCTGACAAAATATTTTCAAATGATGTAGCTTCTACTTCATTGATTCTTTCCTCTGCTGGGTTGAGCCTGTTGTTGAAGCTCTCTATTGAATTCTTTAATGCAGTATTGTACTCTGTATTATTAAGGTTTTACTTTCTTTCTTAATGGTTTCTACTTCTTTGTTGACCTTATTTTGGTCACACATTTTTTTCCTACCTTTTTTTGTCTGTGTGTTCTTGGAGTCTACTGAACTTCTTTAAGAGGATTGTTCTTAATTCTTTGTCAGACAACTCATACATCTCTATCTCTTTATGATGAGTTATTGGAATTTTCAAATTTTCTTTTTTGTGGTGTCCTGTTTACCTAGTTTGTCATGATTCTTGATTTCTTGCCTTTGTATCTGTACATTTTAGTAAATGGTCTCCTCTTCCAGACTTTAGTAGGGAAAACCAATCAGCTGGCTGCATATGTGGACAGTGGGACTTGCTATTGGGATCTCTAATTGATCAAGATTACTGCTTATGTTCTGAGGATATGGGGGCACTGCTCATTGGATCCTGCAGCTGAGTGGGTCTGTTGGCTGGACTCTGCATTGAAGCATTGGACCACTGGGTGGATTCCTTGTTTAGCAGACCTTGTCTATGCTTCCAGTCTGATGGAACCACTAACTGGGCTCTGCACTCACCTCCAGTTGGGTAAGGTTGTAGGCCATGTTCCCTTGGCAGACTGATGCCACTGGATGGATTCCATAATTGGACAGAACATAATTGTTCCTGGTCAGGTGGATCTCATACTGTACTTCCTATACAGATGTTGCTGGATTCTCTGTTAAGGCAGGGCTACAGATTGTACCCTGAAGTTGGGGGGAGTTATAGGTTGGTCTCTACTGCTGGGTGGCACTTTTGGCTGGTTTATGTGACTTGATAGAACATTCCATAGGCCAACTGAGCTCGCTGGTGAGAGGGCCACTGACATGGTTCTGTGAGTCCTCAACACTCTGGATCCTCTAGTGCTGGTTAGAACCTCTTTTCAGGCACTGCTATACATAGGAACATGATGTGCCAAAGTTAGATCACAGATAATTGTCTCACTTCCTTTATTTCTATCTGATAGCCATGGATTACCCCAGGGATCTCTGTGAGATCCCAAGTAGGCCTTCCAGGGTGAGTACTATAATATGTAGTGAACTAGATGGCCATCTTGGGCTCTTTCTTTTTACACCCTCACTGGACAAACCATATATCCAGGGGGAACTTCTTAGTGTTGTGGTGGTGAGGTAAGGATAATATAGGCAGAGTGCAGTGCTCCTCTTACCTTTCTGTTGCTATTCTTAGTTTTTGTGGTTCAAATGTATGTTTCAGCTTCACCCCTGGGTTCTGGGATTTTCACAATGGTGTCTTATCTATGGTTGGTTACTAATTGACCTTGGGAGAGGGGCCAAAAGTCAAGGACAATATTTTGCAATTTTGATATGACCTATGCAGCTTTCACCAGTCTGATCTGGTGCATCATAAGTTAACTTTAATAGGCAACCAAACAACTGGGTGTTTTGCCCATTTAAAGGGAGCTTCTTACTGCTGTTGCTGCAGCTACTCTGTTGCTTCTTGCTTGACCTCTCTCCTCCTCCTTTCCAGAGATCTTGTATAATTATTATAGCCTCCATTTCCTAATTTACTTGGGTTAACACCCCTCCCCACTTTTTAGTGCGGGTGTGCCATACATTTCTAATAAAGTTAGGTTGTTTTGACACTGCACTTCATCCTGCACTTCATTGTGGGATTCTCCCAACTTTCTAAATCTTTTTTTTTTTTTAATTTAGTGTTCTAAGCTTACTCATTGTACTATAAATTGAGTTTTGAGAAATGAAGTATCATGTATCAACCACTGAAGGAGTATAAAGAATTGTTTTAATTACCCGCCCCCCCCCCCGCCAAATCCCTATACTTCACTTTACTACTTCTCCTGCCCCAAACACATGGCAACCACTGAGTTTTCTTTTTTCTGCAAAATTGTAGTACTAATGACCTCTTACTTTTTAATAAACAAGGATTGGAAACTGCCCACTTATAAAACTCAAGATAGCTTTTTCAAAGCTTCATGTTTGAGCATGAGGGTATTTTTTGGTTTAAGAAACATAGGTTTCTTAATCCAAAAGCCTGTTGATTTTGTGAGAAGCAGCTCACTCAAGAAGCATATCTCTGGCAGTTCTTTTTGTGTAAATGAAACTGGCTACTCTTGGAAGTTCATAACACAGTGTTTAGGAAGGCCAGGAAGAAAAATTACATGCTGGGTCCAGTTGGGTTTTGAAACCATAGCTATAAAGTCCTTTAGACAACAACAAAAAAGATGTTGTTGTAGGAAGAAAAGAGTGATATTTTAAATGGGGAAAGATGAATGATTCTGGGTTTTGGAACCAAATGGAAAGAAAAGACCAACTGTTCCCTAAGGTTGAATTTCAATCAATAGATCAAAACTACTTGGTAACCCCTTGTTAATTGTAAGAAGGGTGGCCACCTTGTTCCGATCACTTACTCTCTTGTGAATTCTCTGATAAAGCTTTTTTATATACTGAAGAATTTCACTTCCACAAGATGTGGGTAGTGACTACCCCATTTTAGGCATGGTGAAGCTATTTCTTAGATTTAGTGTTCGTGTCTCTAGAATCAAAGTGTACTTGGGCATAGAAGTGACTAGTCTCTTATGTTTAAATATAGGTATTGGAAAGCAACACTTCATTGGAAAACTTAACTGTAAGAACCAGACAGTAAATACTTTAGCCATTGTGGGTCATATAGTGTCCATCATAACTTCTCTGTCATAGCAGAAGGCAACTGTAGGTTATTTGTAAATGAATGGGAGTGGCTGAATAATGATAAACTTTTACTTTGCATTTGAGCAACAAATTTGTAGGAGGGGTTATAAGATTGGTGTGTTTTATCAGAAGAAAATATAATGCAAATTTCACATCTGGCATTTGCTAGTTGATAATTAATAAGCTAGATCTATAAGCCTATATTTCTGTTGATTTCAACAACAAATAAGTAGATGAGTTGCATTCTTTTTTCTTTTTTTCTTTTATTATTATTATTTTTTAATAATATAACAGTTTATTTTTACATAATTTTGTACATCTTTTATCACTTTAGTCCCCCTCCCCCCCGTTTTTGATCACATTCCCCTCTCCACCCCCACAAAATGTCTCTGGTATATGGCTGTTCATTATTCTTATTATTTTCTCGAGTTGCATTATTTAAAAAAAAAAAAAAGATTAAGTGTCCAGAAAAGGAACTGTTAAAGCTGCATTGCTTGTTATATATTAACAGGAATTATGAATCTCAGAAGTCTTTACCAATAGGCTGCTGCATCCAACCCAGTGTTGGTTAAGCACAGTCCTGTTTGTGGACACAGTTTTAATGGTATTCTAAGATGTACCTCCTAGACATAAAGGGAAAGGAATTTAAGAGCTGTAACAGGAAAACCAATAAGTCATAGATTTAATTGAATGTAATGATATGGCAAAAAAGTCTTGAATGATCTCAAAGTTTTGATAAAGGTGGTCAAAAAAAAAAAGAATATTGCTATCAATATTATGATGGATACATGGCTGAGTCTCAGAGTTGCAAGAAGACACTGTAATTGGATTTTGCATGTTAGAGTGCACGCAAGTTCTGATTTTTCATTCCAGTATTATGCCTGTGTCATGAGGGAAATTTTCTGGTGTGTCATTCAACCAAATCAACAATATTTATTGGATAGCCTCTGTGCCAAGCATAGTTGGAAAATGTGCCCAAATTTGACTTGTTTTGTTAATCTCTTTGTCTGTTTAGGCATTGAGCTTGTGGAATTTTAAATATTCTAAATAGTTCCATACACATTATTTTATTTGATGACTGTTATTTAGTCTCTCTGGTACCATCTAAAGCCCAGGGCAAGACTTGTTGACCATAGTGCCTTTTTTTTTTTCCTGTGACTGCTTAAAATAGAAGACTCTGAATAATATTTAGGCATCATTTTTTGTGTTGTGAGATTTTAGCATTTAAAATTATCAAGCTCATCAGGCAAGAAAAACACCAAGGCTAGTGAATATGCCTGCTACAGTGTCAACTTTTCATAGCTATTTATTACTCTCTTGAGCAAAAAAGAACCAGGGTCTCGGAGTTGTCAATGGTCTCATGAGATGATTCTGCAACATAAGGCTATGGTATTCCACTCTCTTAATGTTAGATCCAAGTTCCCTGTCAGTTCATAGGTAGACGTTCCTACTGACACAGTAGCACATCTGCTATAGGCTTACAAATACAATATGGATGCTGGAAAGAAGGATATATTATGGGCAGATGGATGATTTGAAGAAAGGAAATCGTATGGATGAGGGAAAGTTTCAAGTTTATCACTCTAGAACAGGACAGAGGAAGTAGAGGGAGAGAGGGAGAAGGGGGAGCAACAAAGGGTGTCTGTGCAGCAGGAGGTCAAATGAAGAGCTTTGTTGTGCCAGTGTCCCTGGCATGCCCTTTGTCAGGAAGGCAAAAGGAGGGTGAATTGTATTGTGTCCCATGGCCACTGACCTCATTCGGAAGGTGGTCTCTGAAAATGCTACTTAGAGGTCTCAGCAAACACCTCTTTACCCTAAAGTTCACCCTAAATGTGAGTGTTATCAGAAGCATTACATTCTTTTATAAAGTACTTTATTCTTTTAAGCAATGTTAACTCTGGTTGTTTTCCACTGAAAGCTCTTTAGAAATAGTGAGAACTCTTTAATCAAAGTGTGATAAAAGTGCCCCAAACACAATGTCAAAAAATTTGGAAAAAGAACAGTTGTTACCTGACATTCCTTTTAAGTTAGCTTTGAGTGGATCAAAAAGGTCAGTGACTCCCCAAGAACTTAAAATGCTTTTTAAGTTGAAATGATTTTGAATCCTAAATCTGAAAAACAAAAACAAACTGTCAACTTTCACTTAACACTCTCTTTTAGTATACTTTCATACACACCACATGACATCCAAACTCCCTAACTTCTAGGTCAGTGATTTCCAGCTTTATCTTTAATTGTTCCTTCCCATAAACTTTTCTCTTTGAGGAATTTGACCACATAGTGCTCTCTCCCACCTCTGTACCTTTACTTCTGCTGTTCCTTCCAGATTTCCCTCATCTCCCCTGATTGCCTTTGAATTTCTGTCCTTTTCTCAAGCCCAGTTACTGTTCCCTCCTCTTCTCTCCAGCTCCTTAATGACTTTTGGTTCTTAAGGCCTCTTTAACACTTTTTGTTTTTTACTTTTTTGATGTACAGAACATCCTGTTTCTGATTACTGTTACTTATGGTTTATAAACTACTTTGGGAAGAGAGGCTATCCTAATCAATTTTTGATTGCTTAATAATGATAGTGAATGAAGGCTTACCATGTGCTAGGTACTATAGAAAGTATTTTATGTGGATTATCTCATTTCATTTTCACATAATTATGTTTCTATTGTCCTCATTTTACAGATGAGAAAACTGGGACTTAAGTTTACGAAAATTGCCCAAGAGGACATGATGAATACGTGTCGGACCTCTACCAAGACCAAGGCTGACAGAAAGCAGAGTGCATGTGCTCAATGTCCACTCTCTGCTACTTCCCATCATTTGTGGCGTCTCACATACAGTAGGTGTAGAAAAGAAATTATTGACTAATTGACAATAGTATCGCTCTTAACATGTTTAAATTTGATAAGACTTTTTAAAAAAAGATTTATTTATTTATGCATATGGAACGGGAAAACAGGCCAGAGGTGTGGGGTGGTGAGAGGATTCACCAGAGACAGAGCAGGGAGCAGAACAGGCCAACTGATGAAGTACACCGCTGAGGGGAGCAGCGGGGGTTCAGGAGAGGTCTGCTGTGCCAGGTGGATCACCTCTAGTGCAGGCTGGGATAGAAATCATGCAGAAGTGGCTTTAGCTTCTTAGTGCTGTGCTTTAACCCGCTGCGCCACCAGGGAGGGTCCCTGATACGACATTTTTATGGTTGCTGTATGCAGTGTATATCTTTGAAGCATAGCAGGAAAGGAATGCAAATTAAAGTCTGAGTTTTCCTTGGAAGTCCTTATAGCAGAAAGAATCAGCACCCTGCTTTGTAATATTCCCTCAAGGGCAAGATATTTGAAATTTTACCATTGAAACATCCTTTGAACGGACTGCTGACATCATTTTTCTTTGAAAACCGAAAGCTCAAAATGGAATTTAATGGTCTTTTCTTTAAATCATGCAGAACTTATAGGAGAATAAAAATGTTGGATAAATCCATTTAACATTAAAGTTCTCCATTGCTATACAAGACAATGTGACCAATATATTAAACAAAAATACCAGATTTTTTCATAAAACTATTTAAAATAGTTTTCTTTTTAATGGTATATGCTTTCTCCAAGTATGCTGACATTTCTCCAAAAAGTTGCATGGAATACCCCTTCTGAAATTTTCTTAACTACTCCTAATACATAGTGAATGTGGGGATCCTATCTGAAGTTTGGAACCTGGCTCAGTCTCATCCTTGCTGAGAGATCTGGGCAAGTTAGTTTGCTGTCTTTACTTTAGTTTCCTCATTTATTAAGTGAACATAATAATACTCCTTAGTTCTTAGTCTTGTGAAGATGAAGTGGACTCATCCTTGTGTGGGGTTCAGAACAGTGGGGTTCAGAACAGGTACCTAGCACAGTGTAGGTACCTCTGCATCAACTTTATGGTTTTATTGCTTTTCAATATCTTGGAGAAAGAGCTAAAGGATATTTGAAGTCAAGAATAGACTTGAAAATGGTGAGTGATAAAATTGGGTATGTCATTTTTAGTGAACTGAAAACAGAGTGAAAGTGAGGTATGACTATGAAGGATTAAGGTATTTTTCTTGAATGTCTATAAAGGCAAGTCCAGAAGAATTGCTACCAAAAAAAAAAAATGAATTGAAAAGAAAATACCAGTTACCAAAACCAGACAGGGATATTCCAAGAAAGAAAATGAGAAGCCAGTATGCCTTATGACTATAGATGCAAAAATCCTAAATGAAATACTAGCAAATTAAATCCAGCAATATATATATATAGATATATATATAAATCCCACCATGTCCAAGTCGGATTTAGCTCAGGAGAGCAAGGTGGTTTCAACATATGAAAATCAATCAGTGTAAAGCACCATATTAATAAAGATCATCTCAATAGATGAAGAAACAGCACTGAAAAGACCAACATTTTTTCATAAAAACAAACCATTCAACAAACTTGAGGTAGATGAAGTTTTTTCAACTCGAAAAGGGGCATCTACAAAAGATCCACATTTAACATTATACTAAATGGTGAAAGACTCAAGTGTTCACCTCCCCACAAGCTCAAGAAATAAACCAAGATGCACACCACTGCTGTTTAATATTGTGCGAAAGAGTGTGCAGGGCAACTTTGCAGAAAAAGAAATAAAATGCATCCAGATTAGAAAAGAAGTAAACCCATCTCTAATCACAGATGACTGTTTCACATATAGAAAGTTCCAAGGAATTCACACACAAATGCTACAACTAATAAATGAATCCCTCTAGGTGGCACGATACAAAATCAAGATACAAAAATTAACCATTTCTTTATTAGTAAAGGACAATCTGATGATGTCATCCCATTCACAACAACATAAAAAGGAATAAGATACTTAGAGGTAAAGCTAGCACAATACTGGAAAACTTGTGCACTGAAAACTACAAAACATCATTGAAAGAAGTGAAAGAAAACCTAAATAAAGTGAAAGACACCCTGTGTTCATGAATTTGAACACAATATTGTTAGACATATTCCTCAAATGCATCTATAGATTTAATACCATCCTTTTGTGTCCCACTTGTCTTTTTGACAAAAACTGCCAGGCTGATCCTCAAATGTTTAAGGAAATGCATGGGACCCAGCATAATTGAAACAATTTTGAAAATGAGAACAAAATTGAAGATTACCACTTCCTCATTCCTAAACATACTAAAAAACTAGAGTAATCAGGAGTGTGTGATACTGGTGTAAGTATAGACACTTATGACAAATAGAATAGAATTGAAACCCAGAATAAAACCATATATCTATGTTCAATTGATATAAACAAGTATGCCAAGAAAATTAAAGGGAGAAAGAAAATTTCTTTCTTTGGTGCTGGGTAACTAATTAACCCCACACCAAGTATGAAAAAAAAAAAAATTTACACATGATGGATCAGAGATCTAAATATAGGAACCAAAATTATAAATCTTCAGAAGGAATATAGGCATGAATCTTTATGGTCTTGGCTAAATGTTTATTTTATTATTACTTTTTAAAGATTTACTTATGTATGCATACAGAACTGGGGTACAGGCCAGAGGTGCAAGGGTGTGAGAGGGTTCACCAGAGACAGAGTGGGGAGCAGAACAGGCAGATCAGGAAGAACCTGCTGAAGGGAGCAGTGGACGAGACAGGCGAGGTCTGCTGCACCATGTAGGTTACCTCCAGGGCCAGGGATTGAACTTGCGCTGAAGCGGCTGTGGCTAGCTGTGCTTTAACCCTTTGCACCATCAGGGAGGGCCCCTTGGCTAAAAACATTTTTTCTTAGCTATTATCTTAAGAAAAAGAAAAAATAGATTAATTGAACTTCATAAAAATTGAAAACTGTGTTTCGAAAAACACCACCAAGGAAGAAAAAGCTCATCCACAAAGTGGGAGAGAATATTTACAAATGATATATCAACTAAGAGCCTATTTTCCCTTAGTAAGAAATAACCATTTCCTACAAACAGATAACCATTTTAAAAATGGGCAAAGCATTTGGGTAGATAATTGGTCCAAGAAAGATGTATAAATGGATATAAAATCCTAAAAAGATGTTCAGCATCATTAGTCCTTAGGGAAATGCAAATGAAAGTGACCATGAGCTATCAATTCATACTGACTCGGATGGTAATAAGGAAAAAGTTGGGGGCCTCCTCCAACAGCTGTCTTAACACCCCTTAGGGAGGCCAGATAGGTGCAACCTTCTAGCCTTTAGTCAGAGCAGGAAAACAAAGATCAAAGGACAGCTTGGCTGGAGGGAAGAGGAAATGTAGGCATCCTAGTGAATACAACTAAGAATAATTTGTCAGTTCCTGAATACAAGCTTTACAAAATCTCTACTATTTTATTCAGAATTTGAGAAAGCAGATTCATGAAAAGGGATTTTAAAAATTGTAGTAGTAAAATATGCACAATATAAAATGTGCCATTTTTAACCTGGTAAGTATATGATGCATTCCATGTATAATACAATGGCATTAAGTACATTCTTACTGTTGTGCAACCATCACCACTATCTACTCCAGAGCTTTTTTATCTTTCCTGTTGGAAACTCTGTACCATTAAGCATTAAGAGAGATTTTAAAAGAACTAACAACAACAACATTGCAGATGATATCAAGTGTTGACAAGGACATGCAGAAGCTCTCACATTACTTGGGAAGCTGTTTGGTAATTCCTCAAAATGTAAAATACAAAGTTAACACATGACCATTTCCTAGATTTTCATTCAAGATAATTGAAAATATGTATCTACACAAAAAATGCGCATGTGAATGTTGTAGAAGTCAAAAAGTAGACACAAGAAAAAGTGTCATGACCCGTGTCTATAAATTGATGAATGGATAAGTGAAATGTGCTATATCCACATACACAATGATATTTATGTGAAGTAGTAGATGTATTAGTCACTTCGACTGTGGTACATTTCACAAGTGTTCATACACGAAATCATTAGGTTGGACTCATAAATATGTACAATTGTTATATGAAAATAATACCTAAGAATAGCTTGGAAGGAAATTAAAGAAAAAAGAAATGTAATCTGTCCATACAATGGACAGATTAAAAAGAATGAAGTACTGTACAGCCATAAAAAGAATGAAGTACTGATAGATGCTATAATGATGAATCTTGCTACTGAGAGTAGCTACTTACTGTACAATTTCATTTATATGAACTATCAACAGACAAATATATATATATAGAGAGAGAGAGAAATTAGATTAGTGGGAGAGGAGGGATATGTAATAATGTGGGTATAGTTATTGGGAGAGGAGGGATGTGTAATGATGTGGGTATCGGTTTCTTTTGAATGATGATAAAGTTCTAAATTAGATAGTGGTGATGGTGATAGTTACATAGCTTGGCCAATATGCTAAAATCATTTGAATTGTATATTTTAAAAGAATAAATTTTATGGTATGTGAATTATATCTCGATTTTTTAAAAAAGAAGAAAACACTCTTAGGAATACCACAAAAATGATAACCAGAAGCTCTGTGAAGGAAGGACAAACATCCTTTTGGATATAAGAGAGCTCATGGACTTAAAAAAAAAAATCCCTTCTAATATCAGAAAAATGCTCATTCTTAGCTTTTTTACTACATTGCTCTAATAACTCAGTGTTTTATTGATTAACAAATATATTTGATATTATTGGCCTTTCTTGTGAGCGTCATTATGGATGTAATGACATTTTTAACATTCATTTTTGGTTTTCTTGATTGTCCTTTGGTATGTTATTGTTCTTAATGTAGAATAAAAGTCCCTTTACATTTTGTCTTTATCTGTATATTTTCATTCCAGTGCCTGGACTTATTTTTAACCCCTTGAGGAGCACTGCCGAGGCCTCTGGCTATGAGCTGCTGAGAACTGGTCAGTGAAGGAGGCCAGAGCACCTGGAGGGAAGGAACGTGAAGTGGATACACGCTGAAAATGAGCCCTTGGACTGCGTTCACCCATGCATGTCATCTACAGATTTCTTATAGATTTACTACTCTGATATCAGATATACTAGAAGAGCTAATCATCTGAAGAAGCTGCATGAAAAATCCTGTTGTAAAGTAATATTTTGCCAATAAGATTTGCCTTTGCAAAACAAAATCTAGCACCATTGTATAATGCCTTGACAATTTGTGTTTGTGCATATTAGCTTTTCTTAAAAAGGGCTCATCTCTGTTACAAAAGAATGAGAAACTTCAGAACAGAGACTTAAAGTCTTCAATTTTTATGCCTTAATTTGCCTTTTGATGAAAATTGTATCTATATTTGCTCAATTATATAAACTCTTTTTTTTTTGGTTTTGGAAAAATGGCAATTGTGTATTACTGTAATGTGTTAAGGTTTGAGGCACATTTCTTGAAGGGAGCTGCACTGTCCTTCTTTCCTGCTGTACAGCTTAGGGGCTCCACTCTGGCCCAGTCAAGGCAGAGTGTCTCATCTTGAGAACACCTCCAGAAAATCAGTTCCTTTCATTCTGTGCCACAACCTAGTCAGCAAAGACTCTGAAGTGAACCCATCTCCAGGCACACTCCCTTTGCCTAACCTCTGGGACTACAAATTGACCCAGCAGTTAAGGACAGACTTAAAAGTCATACCTCTTGCATTCAGATCCAGTCTTGGCTGACTGGATTGGGCTGCAGAGCACCCTCTATGCAAGATGGGGCTGCTCACCAGGGCAGGGACACATTAATCCTGGCTCTCTTCAGACTGGAAGTCCAGATGTGGAGGATGCTGGCAGAAAGGTGTGGCTCAGTGAGACTCAGAGGGATGTTTTTGTCATGAGGTAGCACCAGGAACAGACTTGCCACACTTCCCAGGTAAATCAGCTGAAGGCCCGCAGTGTCCTGTAACTGGCCTGGGGTTTCATAAGTGGGGAGTTAGCGCTGTACCAGCAGTCTAGGTTACATAACAGTCCTGGACCCTGAAAAGGTTGACTCACAGAACAAGAAACAACCAATTTGATTAACAGAGCATCCATTTCCCCCTCAGGAAGCATTTTAAAGTCAAAGACTGTTGACACACAGTCTCTGGTCACCCCTTCTGAGCCTAAGATCTAGAATCTCTGTACCCTCACAAGGCTCAAGTATAGGACCTCCATGGGCTGTACAGTTGCTGGCATGAGCCTCACAGGAGAAACCATACACCCAGTCGGAAAGGGGTGGCTCCCTGGCATGCACACTCCACCCAGACCAGGATGAGTGGTCCTCAGTGGGGTGGGCAGGCAGAATAACTGCACTTCAGGGCTAGTGAGGCTGAGTGTGGACAAGCAGTTGGGAGTTTTTTCAGCTGGAAGCTCAATATTCTACTCTTCCTCAGCATCAAACAGTGAAGTGGCTTTGTGGAGAGGGAAAGGATGCCCTGAATGAACTCCACACAAGTTTTGTGGACTCCACCCCCACTCTAGACTAAAGCCATTAAGATACCGGGACCTAGAAGCCCTATCATCAAGGAAGGGATGATAGGGACCTGAGAAGGTGGAGTTAAGCAGCCAGGTTTGGTATAAAACCAGACATGTGGGCCTTGAGGGTCTCTTGGCTTTTGACTCTTGGGCTCTTGGCTTCTGGGCTCTTGGCTTTGACTCTTGGGCTCTTGGCTTCTGGGCTCTTGGCTTGACTCTTGGCTCTCGTTGGCACTCAATGTGCTATTGGGATTCCAGGTCAGCAGAAATGGTAGGATGCATTTACCAATTGATCTCCCTTTCTTTCTCCCTGAGTTATTCATGTCTTCATTTCCCCTTCTTTTGAAAATAAACCCTTCATTAGCATTTTTGTGTGTGCCTGCAGTTAAGTCTTATTATAAGTCTCTTTCAAGGCACTGGTGAAGACCCACAGTGAGGCAACCCATTTCATATTGGGGTTGCCCTGTAATGGCTTTTATTAGAGGTGCTTGCCAAGGAAGGTGTAATTCAAACATTTTTAGTTTCACACAAACTTTCCCCTTTCCTAAATGCTGAGGGAAAGTCAAGCATTTAATTGGGTTCCTCTTCCCCATGTGCTTCCTCACTGTCCTAAGATTCTCCTGACTCCTTGGCCTTTCTCTACCCCACACAGTAAGAGAATCAGAGAGACTCGGCCAGGTCCCTAAAGGTATGGGAAGAAGGACCTCGCTGTAGTTGACATTTCATCTGAAACATAACAGGGACATGGATGACGAGGCCTTGGGCACAGATGAAAGGCAACAGCTGGGTGTCCGGGAGAAGAATCTCTGCCACTATGAGCTTTGGAAGGACATGGTGCTCACAAAGCCAGATGTGCAGCTGCTGTGCCACCTCAGAGCACCCATGTGGAGTCTTTCCAGTCCTCACCTGCAAGCAGGAGAACGACACCTGTGCACAGGCTATGAGGGCATGGAGCAGCCCTGACATGGGTATGCATGTGTGGTTAGTATGTATTAGTAATAACTAGCAACTGCCAAAGACCTTATTGTATTCTATGAATATTTGGGCTACTCTGCTTCTTCCCAGGAAGCATTAGGTGTATAATGCTCAGACAGATTCCTGGGAGGGAGCCAGGCTATGAGGGGAATGCTATGTCATGTTAACACCCCATTCCCTGCAAGGCCCCAGCTGCTTGGCCTCATCCCTGGCAGAACCTTTGCTTAGACAACAACTTAGCAACTTTCCTGACAGCCTTTAAATTCCATGCATTATCAGAAAAAGGAGCAGGCTGACCACCCCTTACAGGAAGGTGTTTGCCCAATCCTTTGTATATTTAGTAAGCATACAGTTTGTGCTAGACTCTGTTTAAACACTTGAACACACCTTCACTGACTCTTCTCCAAAGTTCTATTGTTATTCACAGTCCAAGCCAAGACTTGGAGGGGTCAGGCAAGATCACATGCTTGTGAGTGGCAAAACCACACCACCCACACAGTTACTTAAGATAGAAACTTTGGATTTGAACCCAAGCTGCCTGGCCCCGCCCCAGGCTTTTCATGGCACTTCACTGCTCCTGTTTCTTAGAGGATGATGCACCCTGGGTGTTGAGAGCAATAACTGTGGCCTTGGGCCCCCTGGAAGCACAATGAGACAGGGAATTAAACATTTTAAATTAATTTGAAAAGATAATGTGAAACACTGGAGAAAATTGAGAGGCGGAAACCTCCATATCAATAAAGATCTTAATGTTTGCATTTTGACCCTACAGTCCTGCACACATATATTGCTCCCAATTCAGTCATAAAGTTTATATCACTTGCTATTTTGCTTCTTAAACAACACTGGTTCTAGAACGTTCTCTATTATTTAGTAGAAATATACTTTGTGCTAGACTGTTGATAATTCCCTGTTGATAATTCCCCATGTGATTATCAAGGCTGCTGAAGCCAGGCTGCCTGGGTTATCATCCTGATAACCCTGGGAGAGAAGGACCCTCGGTGAGAAGCTTCACTCCTGTGCCTCAGTTTCTCCATTTGTGAAAAAGGACATAGCACTGACCTCCCAGTGTGACTGTGGGGTGCACTGAGCTAAAAACATTGAGTATGGAAATGGATGCTAAATAAAGCACTGAGTAAATATCAACAATCTTTCTTAGCTTTAATCATAAGGATTAATGCATAATATAATTCATTCCTAATTTCTCGACAGCTAGGTTATTTGTAATTTTTTTTTTTTTTGGCTAGCAGTAGGAAAAATATCTTACTATATATAACTTTATGTCTCAAAATATTTTCTTAAAATGCAAATGGTTAACAGGCATATGAAAAAAATGTCCAACATCCTTCATAATCAGAGCAATGCAAATTAAAACCACAATGAGGTACCACCTTACACCAGTAAGAATGGCACATCTTAAAACAACTAGCAACAAATGTTGGTGAGGATGTGGAGAAAAAGGAACTCTCCTACACTGCTGGTGGGAATGCAAACTGGTCTAACCACTATGGAAAGCTGTGTGGAGTTTCCTCAAACTACTAAAAATGGGATCTACCATATGACCTAGCAATTCTACTCCCTAAGAGATCTACCCAAAGGACACAAAATCATTAATACAAAAGAATACATGCACCTCTATGTTTATTGCAGCTCTATTTATAATAGGTAAGATGTGGAATCAACCCAAATGCCCAAAAATGCCCAGATGCCTGGATCAAGATGTGGTATGTATATATACACTGGAATACTACTCAGCAACCAGAAAAGATAAACTCATGCCATTCACAGCAACATGGATGGAGCTAGAAAAGATTCTGCTAAATGAAATAAGTCATAAGGAAAAAAGACAAATACCAGATGGTTTTACTTATAGGAGGAGTAGAGAGGCTCTAGGGAAAAAAATTAAAAATAAACAGAAAACTATATATTCTGCAGGGGAGGGGGTGGGGAAAGGATCAAAGAAAGGGCAAGAAAAGCACAAGGGAATATGGAGAAGGTGCACAGGTGCATTGGTGGAAATCTCTAGGGATTACAGCTGGGAAAAGAAAGCAAACATTATACCAAAATGGACCATGATGTAAAATATATACAAATAAGTAAATTATATATTAAAAACTATTTCCTTAAGCTGAATTCCCAAGAAACTACCTTTTGGGCATTTTTCTATCTCAGAGAGGGTGGGGTTGAGAAGAGGGTTATAGTGCAAATTGACCTCTGGGGGAACTTGACCTGGGAGGCTAGTTGCAGAGGCCCAATCCCTCAGGGCCCTGCTGGTGGCTCTGAAGATGCTTTTTTTTTTTTGCCTTTATGTGTATGTGTCTGTGTGTGTGTGTGTGAGAAGTGGGACAGAGTGGGAGGTGGGGGGGAGGCTGAAAAGAGGTTCAATGTCAGATTTGCTTGCCTCAGAGCATGTCACTCAAGGGCAAGGCCTTCTAGGAGCACAAACTTCTGCAGCAATTGAGGGTGAGTTCAGTGCAATTCTGCAGGTCTTCTGGCAAGTAACAGGAGGCACCCACCTTCACAGCCCTCAGATACTTGCCTCACCAATGTGGATGTCTCTCTTACCTGTGCTCTGCCTAGAGGCCTGTTTACTGACCTGGATGGTGGTGCTGCTGGGCTCATTGAGGTTGGCTGGCTCCAGGCAGCTGTTGGCCCACCCAGAGACCTGCTTGACAAAGCAAGGGGAGAGCAGTGTTCCTGCTTGCACAAAAAAGGTGCAGGCCAGCTCCATCTCCATTCCTTGGCAGGAGTTGGGTAGCAGGGCTTGAACAATGTGCAAGAAAGCTCTCAATCCTTGGTCTATGAAAAAGTTGTTGGAATAAATTGCCAATGAGTGTGAGTAAAGAGTCACTGCACTGAAAATCAGACTCCAGCATTGTCACTCTTATTTCATAGGGCTCATCTGTCACATACAATCAATTTGGAAAAGTTATAGCTAAGCCACCAGGAATTAACCTAGCAGCACAGATTAAAAGTTGTCAATTAAACCTTCCTGAATCATAAAGAAATTAATCTGTTTGGTTAAGTTCAACAAAAGCTACTACTCACATCCTGGAGGGTGTCCTGACTGAACTGCTTGATTTAGAAATGCTGGCCAGTGCTAAAGCAGAGGCCTGGGAAAATGGCAGCTCCAGTGTGTGGGTTACAGAGCTTCAAATATTTCTGAAGCTAACTGATTGTCACAAGTAACAATGATGGAGGGTTGCCAGGGTGTTAAACTGTTGATTGATCTTGTGCAGAGCCTTAAATCCATTCCATGACTGCATGTCACAAGCCTGCGTGACAGACATTTGGATGCAGACTTTTTAATAAACCATGCTTTCAATTGGAGAAACAGAGGGAGGTAAGAACACCTCCCTAAGGCCGGGCAGACAGCTCAGTGTTATTCACACCAGTGAGAACCTGCATCAAGGCTGAGGTAAAAAGCATTTGAGAGGCTCTCCCTGGTGGCGCAGCAGGTTAAAGCACAGCACTGAGAAGCTGGAGCCACTTCCGCATGAGTTTGATTCCCGCCTTCCCCGGAGGTAACCACATGGCGTGGCAGACCTCTCCTGACCCGCCCGCTGCTCCCCTCAGCAATGTCGATCTGCCTGTTCTGCTCCCCACTCTGTCTCTGGTGAAGCCTCTCACCACCCCTGAGCCTCTAGCCTGTACCCCAGTTCTGTATGTACAAATAAATAAATCTTTAAAAAAAAAAAAAAGCATTTGAAGGAGTCAATAGCTGCCACCTTCTTGAATGGCAACAGGAGTTCTCTTTATTTACTATGTACATAGTACATAGGAGGTTGCTTCTTGCAATCAGTGGATTTCGTTTTTGTGCCATTATTTGTTACTGAGGCTTCTATTCTTGCCATTGTGTCTGAAACTGGAAGGTGGCCCACTGGGAGACAGGGCACAGCTGAACACCCCAAGTTTCTGTTCCTGGCCTGAGACGGCTGGGCCCTTCCAGCAGTCTGTTCCCTTTCCCATGCAGACTACCCCAGAACACGGCCTTCCCTTTGTCCTCCTCCCCCTCCTTCCTGTTACCACTCCCGTGACATCTCCTTGAAAGGCACAAGCTTTGCACCCTCTTCCTGCCCCGCCCTGCCTGGCTGGCTTCCTCAGGGATGAATCCCTGACTTGGCTAGGTGTCAGTTCTCTCCATGTTACCTCCACCATGTCACAGAGTTCAGGCCAAGAGACAGCTGCAGACCCCAGACTTGCCCAACCAAAGTCCTCTGGAGGGGCATGGGCACCTAAGTCCTCCCTGGGAAGGGCCCCCTAGCCAGCAGGCTGAGCTCTCAGTTGTGGGCAGATTTTATTTGTCCACAAACTGATCACTATCAAAGCTGCTGCTTAGAATCTTCAGCTATAAAAAATGACATCAAGATACATGTGTCTTGAATTGCAACCTAGCTTGAGTGTTTGTCATTTATTTAAATGAGAAAAGAAATAAATGAAAAAAAATATCTAACAACTTCTAATTAGATTTTCCTCTGCTAAGGAAGGTCATATGTACTGATAGACTCAGGTCACTGAAAATGTTGACTCGTCTGCAGAGACAAAGTGACACATTTCAGTGGTGTTGTGTGACCTTAGCGAATACTACGAGCTCTGCTCTCTGCTCTCTCACCCAGCTTGGGTGCGGGACCAGCAGGCTTCTAGCCAGATGCTTTAAGGTAGGAGAATAAATGGACTCAAGAAATCTTTTCTGCGCCTCCTTTATCACTGCCCACTTGCAAGGCCAGTATTGTAGGCACGATCAGAATATGGGTGGCTAGAAAACATGACTCTGGAGGCTGACTGTATACATTACTCTGTGCTAAGTGTTCTGCTTTCGTGGTCACTATTTTACCCTGTCAACAACCTTGGGATTAAATGCCATTATGATCCCATTTTTAAAGAGGAACTGGGCTTCCGACAAATTAACAAGCTTGTTGAATATCACCTGGTTTCAGGAGGTGGCGTTGTACGGGCTTTCCTCCCGCAGGTGGAGGGCAGGTGGGCTGGGATCTCTCTGCCAGGACAACCTGGTTCCTCTCTCAGGATGGGAATGAACCCAGGGCCACAGAACACAAAGCCACCTACTATGCCTTACTGTGTGTGTCTCCTGAGCCCTTGGGCATGATGGGGCAAGGTGACTGATAGGTGAGATGACAAATGTCACCCTTGAAAGAGACTCCTGTCACTGCTGGTTTAATTCCTTTCGGCCTCTCCCTTTGAAATAGCAAGGCTTGGCTCTCACTGGAGGGGGATTTAGTGACTAATAAAATGCTGAGTCAGAGGAAATAGAAAGGAGAAAAACTTAAGGGCTGCTTTGATCAGGAACAAAGGAGGGAGGAGTGGAATGGGTGCAGAGTAGGAAGAAAGTACTAGAAGATCCAGCAAGAGTCCAACATGGAGACCAACGGGGAAATTACCTGCCTTTATAACATTTGTTCCCTTTAGAGGAATGTGATGCTGAATCTGGTTTGTTGTGATTTTGTAAAGTTAATGTATATAAGATTTCAAACTACAAGAGCCATCTTCATGATGCTGTCTTAGTTGGCTGAGAATTAAAAGAGGGTTAGGTTTATTCTGCTGTCCAAAGAGTTTGGTTGAGCTAAGAGACTAATGAGGATGCCTCTGGTGAACATAACAGGTCAGGTGCTTAGACATTTTGCAACTGAGAGTGGGCTTAGGAATTGTGGGAAGATTATAAGGGTTGGTAGCAGAGAGTTTGAAACTTGCCTGTTGGTGAACTGAGTCTTGCCATATCATTAACCTCCCATTTGTGAAATGGGGTTTGTTGACAGAGGCCTAATAATTGTATATGGTTTTTGTAATCTCAAATGACCTAATGCCTGTAAAGAGAAATCCAGGGTGTCATCAGACAGAGATGTTTCCCAGGGGTCAGGCTACCTCCATCGCTGAGGCCTCTGCTCCTAGTAGTACATTTGTAATTTATGGAAAGCTGTAAAGTGTGCTTTATTAATTTGCCTGGAATAGCAATGGAAATCCCTTGGTTGGAATGTGGGACACTGGAAAGTTGTAAGTTTCATATGGAGAATATGATGGTTCTCTTTGGGAATATCCTGGTCACTGTTCTGAATCTCATGCTGCTCTTATTTGACCAGGGGTGGGAACTCTGACGAAGCTCCTGGGTGCCACATATGGGCTGGAGATGCAATGAGAAGACAATGCTGATACATCCACTACAAACCTGGGTAGATTTTTCTGTCGGTTCAATGGGAACAATGCCTGAGACCCTGGAATGTGATTTGATGCTGTTCCTGTTTGAACAATGTCTTAGAGGTCTTTATTACTTTGAAAGCAATAAAAGTAACGGAAGACTAGGCCAGAGCCAGTGGTGGGTGCTGTAGGTTGTAGGATACACATGACTTAGTTCTATAGGGCAAACAAAAGTGTGTGGCAGACTATTCAGAAGAGCTCTGTACACACAAGACTCCTATTCATAATATTACCCATGGCTCTCTAAGATAATGAAGCAGTTTATGAGTAAGAAAATGAAAGTGGGATTATATTTCAGAGTTTGGCTATTCAACATTCTTGACATTTAGTAGTTCTTGAATGGGCTCTATGAAAACCCTGTTAATCATCATATTTTGTTAACCTGGAATCATAATTATCACTGACAATGGGAAATGGATTGTAATTAGTTCTCTTTCTCTGCCAAATAGCTACACTTGCATTTTCTTACCTTTCTGCCAATCCTGGCTTCTGTGAGAATCAGTTTAAAGCTGAAATGCCTACCCCTCTCTCATATTCCTCCTTATTGTTCATAACCCATGTCATATATAATGTCTTCTGGGGCATATTCTTAATCTGCTAGTGGAATAAGCCGTTCCTTCCCTTGTACTAACTTATTTCAAATAAATATACTCATTGTGCTGTGTTAGAGTGTGTTTCTATGTGCATCAGGGGATGGGCTGCATGCTGAGTTCGTGGCAGGGCCCTGAACCCTCCGCAGGAGCTCAAGAGAACTTGATGAATTTCACTGGGTGGAATTTAATGTGCTGGAGAAAAACTCCATGGACACATGTATTTCTGTGATATTTTTTTCTGAGAAAAATCAAACTCAATGATTTGTATTTGTCTCTAGTTATTCACAGAGAAGGAACACACTTTCTCTCTGTTGGCCTGCAGGATCAGGAGAGTTGTGACAGGGGACAGGGCGGCTGGGGGGGGGGGTGGGGGTACAGGGTCTGATGGGTGGGAGACAGGATACACAACTGGTGCTTTATGGCTTGACATCTTGAATGCTAACATTTACTTGGCCAATTCCAGATTCCAGTTCAAAGGGAATTGTTGGCCAGATTGTGTTGGCTTTAGTCTTGTACTTAAAAAAATATTTTAGAAAATTATAACTTCCATCCTTTATTTATTGACATCTTATTTTAAGAGAGAGAATAAAATGTTATCTTCATGAATGTCAGTATTAGCTTGGAGTTGGTGGATTGGCACCAAGGCCAGACATTAAGCTGTGGGCTCTGCTTACAAGCCAGATGGGACCTGAAACTCTAGTCACTTCCAGCTGAACTGTTCTAAATCCATAATCATAGCATTGTGTTGGGAGATAGAGCACTGGCTAGAAGTCATAGAGTTATGAAAACAGGACAGTGTGGGCTCTGGAGCCAGACTGTCTGGGCTTGAGTCCCGATTCTGCCCCTTATTAGCTGTGTAACCTTGGGCAAGTTACTTAAAATCTCTGTTCCTATTTGCTCATCTATAAAATTGGAATGAAATATACTTCAATAGTGTTGTTATGACAGCTCACTAGATTAATATCTACAGGGTGTTTTACATGGTCTGGCACTTAG